CTGTCCTACCAAGCAGGCTGACCGCTGTCCTTGCTCTTGCCTTTGCTTTCTGCTTTATGATATGAGACCATGATCATTCACCTAAAAATCTTCCAATGGTTTCCTTTTCTATAGAAAATAAAATTTATATTTGTTTCTGTGTCCTACAGAGCCCTACGTGATTTAACTCCCCAGCCAACCTCTTAGATCAAGTAACTCTTGCGTTTATGTATTAAACTGTAGCTGCCCATGCCTTTCTACCCTAACACATTTCTGCGTGAGAGTATTGGTGCTTGCGGTTTCTTCTGCCTGGCTCGTAGAACTTGGAAGTTTGGCTGCTTCTCACTCTGCAGTAGACATTGTGCAGTGGGCATCAGCAAAATGAGGGTGACAGTTCTTTAAAAAATAATTCATGATTTGACATATGTATGTTTAAATTTTAGGATTATCAACATGAGGAAATTTGGATTTTACTGTATTTGAACTTTGTCAGAACTCTAGAGTCACATCTATAGTCTGCCTTCTTTCACAGCTGCCCTATTTACCATATGACTTCTACAGCGTAGTGACATTTCTGGTGTCTTCAGATAATTCTATCTAGGTAGTACTCTACTGTATTGTTTTCATACAAGGGACAAACTCAAGTTTTTGTGCATGAGAAGTAAAAGCTAACTTCTCCAAAAAGATCAGAATTTTATAATGTTATTATATTTACTTTTGGTAACATTTTCTGTTTTACTTTATAAAGCAAGTAGCTCTTCTGAGGATGAGAAGTTGAAACTCAGATGTCCAGGGCAGCACAATTACCATTGCACTGATTCTCATTCCTAGTACTCTAAAGCAGACTAAGGACAATATAGCAACAACATTAAAAAAATCAGTTGTCCACACTCATCCATGGGATGAGTGTAAATATAAGGACAACAGTTAAGGTTAGGGGCTTTAAAAATATCAATAATGCTTCTCTATTTAATTCTGAAACTCTGACTGTTCAAACTCTTTTGTGGTTCACATATTTTGCCTTTGATTTTGCCTATCGAATTATGATACTATCTCTCTTAGTGATTTTTAATTTTTTATATGTTGTCTTAAAGTACTAAGCACTAAAAATATCTAACCATTATTCTAACATTGAACCTATGTTCCTCATTTGTACTGAATATGACTGCATACAGTCCATAGATTTCACTCATATAGTTGTGAATTGTTTGAATTAGAGACAGTCACCTTTGTCAGGCTCTTAACCTGTGCTTTAGTTTTTTCTTCCTTTAAAACATTATTTTACTTGGTGGAAATTATATATATATATTTTTAAAGCATATTACATATGTATTTTAAAACAGTGAATTAATTTTCTCATATATTGAAGTTAATCATGGTGCATGTATATGTATATAACATGTATTGAAATCTGAAAACATTATAGAAATGATAAATCAAATTAATAAGCACATGTTACCTCACATACTTACCTTTTTGTGGGGAGAACAAATGAAATATACTTTTTTATACTCTCAAGAATGCAATCTATTGCTATTAATAATATTCGCCATGATGTGCCATAGACAGCTTGAATGTGTTTTGTTTGTTTGCTTGTTTGTTTTTTCCCTGTCTGAGGTTTGTGCCCTCCTTTTGAGATGCAATTTCGTAGATTTGGGGCGATGTAAGTACTGGTAAACAGAAGATTCGGGAATAGTTATTACCTATGGACTATTTCATTTTGTGAAATCATGGTATAACAAAGAAACAGGCTTGTGGATAACTGATCTATGATGACCTAAAAAGTAGAGATAATAAAAACCAACTGCCAGAAGGGGGAGGGTGAAATCTTATTACTCACTGAAGACACTACTGTTAGAATTAGTAAAGCAAAATCAACTTATGAATGTCTCAACAACCTGGGAAATTATGATAGGATGATGACATTTCCCCCATAAGATATGGTAATTATATGGAAGTCCATAAATTTGAACTCTATAAATAATGACTTAATTAGGCTACTCATACATGTGTAATAAAATTTTCATCAGTTCAATGGCACATAGACATGCACAATTATATACAGTATATTTGTGTATATATAACTAAAGGCTTAGAAAAGGCACAGTGGATTGTGCTTTAATCCATCACAGGGAAGTAATGAAGCATGAATAAAAGTTTTAGATCTTTATTCTGATCTTGACTTAATGCTACAATTGTACTTTAATTTATAGATCCATCTATTACAGACGTCCTCTTGTGTCTAATTTCAAGTATTCTCATTAGGGTTTTAGTGATGAAGTCTCATTCTCTTGTCAATTGCCTTTTAAATTTAATTAAGATGTTTTCGTGTGTGTGTATTATGTTCTATTCCTCACTGTATCATCAACGACTTGAATGACCCATCAGTTATATCTGTGTTCCCCTCTGTGCCTGGCACAGTGCTCTGAACAAATTAAACACTAATTGAATGTCTTAAAGCATAGTGAATTAATTTCCTCATATCATATTGAAGTTAATCATGGCATTGTAATCATTTGATTCATTCCTGGGATGAAATAAAAGGAGTCTTCCCTAACTCCTACCCAACAAAACATTGACAGATGAAAAGAACAAAGGAAAGAAGCAAGCCAAATGAAAGAAAAGAAGGAAGCAGTTAAAGACTTACTCTGTAGTCACTCGATGTCACATAAAATATAGGGAGGAATGCCAACCAGATGATGCAGGTGGTATACATCGTGAAGCCTATGAACTTGGCTTCATTGAAGTTTTCAGGACACTTCCTTGTTTTGAAGGCATACACAGTGCATAGAATCACCAGAACCACATCGTAGGTCAGAGAGATCAACATGCTGGAATCTTTGACATTGCATTTGAGGATGACTGTTTCCCGCTTCTCTGGAAGGGTATACCTTCTGGTGCCTGGAGCCTCCAGGATCAGCCACACTGACACCATCACGATTTGCACCAGTATCAAACCCAGGCAGATAAAAACCTGAGAACTGGGGCTGATGAATTTGGGCCTCTGAGCGCCATTCTTGACACCATCAAAGATGCGAGCAATGCAGTTTGTCTTGGTCAGCAGAGCTGAATAACAGATGGCAAAGGAGGTCCCAAGCCCAAGGCGGCGCAACGCACATATGACAGGTGATGGTTTAGCAATGAAGAAGAATGTCATGCCGTAGGACAGGCTAACGCCAAACAACAAGATGTAGCAGAGTTCTCGGCCCGATGCTTTGACCAAGGGTGTGTTGTTGTGCTTGATAAAGACAGTTATAACTATGCACGTACACATAAAACCCAGGCAGGCAATGGTGACGGGGCCTATTGCCCAGGCATCTTCCCATTTGATGTAATCCTCTGGAAGATTGTAGCATCCGGATAGGTCAGCAGTGGGCCACTGGCCAGGCCCACAATCCATACAGGTGAACTCATCAATCAAGTATTCGTAGGGCTCACAGGGGATGCAGATCCAGCAGCAGACATCCCCTGGCTGCATATTCTTCATTTCATTGGGGGCACAGGGGTCACTGCACTGGGAAGTGGGGACTGAGTTCCGGGACCAGTGGATAGAGTCCACGTCTAGAGATAAAGTCTCTGCCCAGTGGCCCACCTTCAAGTAGGAATACTTGCCACCTATGTGCTGGAAGTTGAACACGTTGTATCTTCCCATCCCGTCTCCGAAAGTGTCAAACTTCACAATGCTGTCTGCTCCTTTATTTGGGTTGAATGGAGCTTTGATACACAGAATGGAAGAAAAGAAAAGAACACTTGTTTAGGTGTCTCATATGTCATCAGTCAATCCCTTTTGCCATACACTCAGCAGAACTGAAGTCACAGGGACGAGAGAGACCAAGGCTGACCTAGTTATGACTTACCATTGAAAGCCACACATCAAAAGCTTCCAGAGTGCTTATGCATTCATAAATTTACTCACTTCAGATTGCTGAGTGTCTAACAGGTGCCAAGTGTCAGTGGTAATAATGAACATAACACAGTGCTACTTCAAGGGAGCATGTTACAGAACAGAAAAGCATTGGCAAACACATAGTTGTTCTCTGTGTGATGTGAAATACTGTTTTCTTGAAAGCTTTGTAACAGGAATTGGGCAGAACTTCATGTCTCATTTCATACTTTTATATACAATCACTAAATTTTTTATCATCTTAATTATTTTCATGACAATATAAAATTAATAGAAAAAATTTTCTCCTTGAAATGAGATCTCACTGTAAATGTATAATACGTGCATTTAAACATTTCTGATGATTGGCATAGGAAAAATTTGAAATTTATTTATAGTTTATCTGTAGTTTTTGGCATACAGCCTTGCTGTGTAGCCCAGGCTAGCTTTAAACACACAGCATTCTCTTACCTCAGCATCCTGAATGCTGGGGTTACAAGGATGTGTTGCCATGCTTGGTTAGATATCTTATACATACAATAGTATGTAGGATATTTGCAAGTGGGCTTTACTTTAAGTATAGAGGGTAGGACGCTCTCAAACAATGGTATATTCTAGATCCTGTCCCTTTCCATCTCCGGAAAGCCCTGGAGAGCAGCTGGTCTGAACATCTGAACTACTTCTTCTTTCCCAACTATCATTGATGATGCATCTACTGTCGCCATGAACAATTTCTAAAACAACTTTCTATACAATTTATTCTTATTACATCTTGGTTTGTATTTAATAAATGTCTCAGAAGAATTACACTGAAGTAATAGAGCTCGATGGAGACTATGAACTGAGAAGGGAAACTTTTTCTCCTTAAGAAATTTTAACTTTAATTAAAATATAATTACATTATTTCCTCTTTCCCTTTCCTTTATCAAACCTCTCTCATATCTTCTCCCTTCAGCCTTTCCCATGTCCCTCCCCTACTTGCTCTGAAATCATGACCCCCTTTTCTTTGATTATTGTTGTATTCTCTCTCTCTCTCTCTCTCTCTCTCTCTCTCTCTCTCTCTCTCTCTCTCTCTCTCACACACACACACACACACACACACACACACACACACACCCTGCATTGCATGTATGTATATGAATTCAGGGCTGACCACTTGGTATTGACTACCCAATTAGGGGGCTCATCCCCGAAAGACTAATTCTATCTCTCTCAGCAGTCAATCATTAGTTGCTTATGGTTCTTTGTCTATGGGTGAAGCCCATTAAAATTTCCTCTTTTCATATTACTTAGTTCTTGTTTAGGTAGACATTGTTGCGGGATCCTGGATGTAGTTTCCCTGTCATATGTAGGCGACATAACCTCATATAGCAGACTTCTGGTCCTTTGACTCTTACAGTCTTTCTGTCCACTCTTCTGTGATGTTCCCTGAGTCTTAGGTGTGCAGGCACTGTGTCAAAGAGGGAAATCTCAGAAATCCAGTCTCTTCTTGAAGGCTGAGGATTTCTAAAGCCTTGAAAGGTTTTCCTCCCTAATTTAGGGTTGGTCAGTTTGCAGAAATATGGAAAGACTGGTTGGGCAGTAACTGTTGTGTAATAGATCCTGATCTGGCCTTGAACGTGTTGAGTTTATCAGGAGAGGGCATGTTGGAGGGAGAAAAAAAAACTCAAGGCGTTTGTTTTAAGCTGCCAGGCTTTTGTCTTAGGTCAGAAGGGTGAGGAAGAAGCCGACCATCTTCGAAGCTCACCACCTTTATTACCTAGCTGTGGTCCTTCTCCCTACATCTGCCTACCAGAGAGTCGAACTCACCGTCTCTCCAAATCACCAATTTTGTGGTGATTTGTTTCAGTAGTAATAGGAAACGAATACACACAGTAAAATCATTTCTCACTTGTAACATGCTCTACTAATGAGGCTGTAGTTGGGTGCACTCTCTCTTGTCATGCTTTTGTGTGTAAAAGTTAGTATACTTCTAAAGGAGGACAACTGGTCAGAATCTTTTTCAAAATTACAGATGTATCCAAGTTTTGGCTAGGCAGTTTCCATTGGTGGAATGTATTCTAAAGATCAGTTAGGCTATGTGTTTACTGAAGTATTATTTATAAAAAAGAGACTTGGAAATGACTCAGTCATCATCAGTTGGGTTCATTAACAACAAATAAAATGTTACACAGATGTGAGAAGAATGAGGACATGTATGCCCTGTGTAGTATGGACATATTAGAAAGGAAACCTAAAAGTTGCATTGTTTTGTGTGGAAAAACAAAATATTTGATCAGCTATATTTTATGGGAGTGGGGACCATAAAGTTATTTGCTCCTTTTTTTCTATGAATAGAGGAGCTCGAGAATGATAACTAAGAACAGTGGCTATATTAGCCAGGAGATGGAAAGTAAACAGATTGGTGGCAAAGACAGGAGGTACATTTTTATTTTACAGTTTAGATTTTTAATAACATGGTTGCATTACCTATTCACATATGCTCTGTAATCACAAATATGATATCTATGAGACAGGTGGGAAAGCCTTCAAAAGATATTCAGAGATCAAGAATCAACTTTTGCTAGTGAGAGACCCTGTCTCAAAACTGCACAGTGGACAGCTCCTGAGGCATGACACCAAAGGATCTGGACTCCACACATGTGCTCCCCCACTCACCTGTGCCTGAGTATATACAAACACACAAACACACAGAAAATCATCTTTGTGAAATGACATAGCAAAAACAGAAATTCAGTGTAAGTATTGAAAGATGAATATAAGAAAACTCTCAGAGTTTGGTCAAAATGTTATGAGGAAAGAAGGGGATATAATAAAAAATGGATCACTTTGTTTTCCAGCAAAGAAGTGCCCACATGTGGGTGGTGGACTGGGCTTGGAGAAAGTGAGGGAAGATAATTTTATTCTTCCTTTTAAGTGTGCTGTATTCACATAAATATGTACAGATTTAATTTGGATAAGAAGTTACACAATTAAATAGAATAGTCAAGGAAGATCAAGTAAAAAAACACTTAAAAGGCAAATAGTTTGGAAAATAATGAAAGTATTTCAACAAGTCTTTGAAAATGTGTAGTGACTAAACAAATGATACTTTTTGTGGATTTTTCTTTGTGTATGTATGTTCATGTATGTGCGTGTATGTACATATATATGCATGTTTGTGTGTACATATTTATGCATGTATGGAGGCCAGAGGTAGAGAGCAGTGATCTCCCTTAATTCCTCTCCATCGTGTATTTTGAGATAGGATCTCTCCCTGACCCTGGAGTCAGCAGTCCTGGGGATTCTCCTGATTCTGCCTCCCCAACGCTAGGATCATAGCTCTGAGATTACAAGTGTGATGAATTCTGGGTTTGAACTCAGATTATTATGCTTACATAATTAATACTTTGCTGACTAAATTATCTCCCTAGTAGAAATTGTTCCCTAATAAAAAATTCACCTTTTACTAAATTTGTTAAACTATAAAATATATAACAAAATATAGTATAATGTCTAAATCCTTTAACCATAAAAACACCTTAAAGTCCTTCAAATGAATACTTTATAAACCCCAACAAATTTATTGTCAGAAGCACCCTGATTCTTAGTTTGAAATACACAATGCTACGTTTGTACCAGCATGAAAAAGAACAAAAAGAGATTCTAGAAGAAAAAGGTGAAGCGTATCTGACAAACACTCCGCTGTGAGGGTAGCCCTGTCCTGGAACCTTGGTTTCAAATACATTGGACTGGGCGGTGAGACAAAGCAAACCCTTCCATCCTGAAGTGACGTGACATGCAGTGGCAGAACAGCTGAGGTCCTTGTATATGGATTCTGTCACCTTCCGATACAGTCAGAGTTGCCTCCAGGTCAAACGACTCACGAGGGAGATAGTTAAGACCCAGTGAACTGGAACCACGATTATCTAACAATCAATTGCATAGTTCTTTAGTGTGGGAAAACTGGGGAGTTTGCTATTTCTCAAGTGGGATCTCACCAGGGGAGTAAGCACATTCGACATGGAAAAATAAATCACTTCACCCTTCATTGTATTGCAACAGCATGAGAGAATCCAGACTAAGCGGGGCAAAGAATAACAAACAGGAAGATGGAATACTTTTTTTAAAGACTCACTGCCTTTTCCTGAGCACAATCCCTATCCCCCTCTCCCTCTAATGCTGCAAAGCGAGTCCTTCATTTTCAGACACTGATCTGTCCTCAGGTCAAGACAGTGGTTTTTGGAGTAGCTTGTTAGTCAACTAGTACTGAGCTGAGTTCCAAGTGGATTTACTTGTAAGTTTTAGTACCAAGGCAACCAGCCCTCCTAGGACCCATTTGATAGAGATGGGTCAAGTCTATTTCTTAGAAACATCACAGGGCAATAGTAAGAGAAAATTAAATTGGTTCATTCTCTCTCTCTCTCTCTCTCTCTCTCTCTCTCTCTCTCTCTCTCTCTCTCAGTACTCCAATTAAGGTAAGACAGTAATAAGGCTCTTAGGAAGCCTTCAGTAAAGCTACATCGCCTTCATTGCTCAGGTTCACACCAGTAAATACTAATTAAGATGGCAAAAGCTACTGACAGCAACACGGCTCCGATTTTGAAACTGGAGCCTCACTAAGTGGCTGTGAACCTATCTGATGAGTTGCAGCAAAGACAATGTTAAGAAGAAGAAAATGTCATTTCCCTCCACAGACCATGGCAGAGGTCAGAGGTGAAGAAGCCAAACTCCTTTGGCTAGAGCAGACAAACTCTTTACAAACACCAGACAGCAAGATGATTAGAAACAATGAAGGAGACCCTGGCTGTCAATAATTAACTTTCTGATGAGGAGCAGGAATGCTGAAGCCATTCTCGTGGTTCTCGGCCCAGTGGAGCAGCTGGGGTCCAGGGCCACTTTGTCCTGGACTCAGTCTACCATGTGGGGAATGTTCAACTAGACCCTAACATGGACAGTGAAAGTGTCTGAGAAAAGACACTGAGGCACAGTGGCCTTTGAATGGGACTTCCTTATTAGATTTCCTGAAGAGTTAGCATGCCCAGGCTTCGTGGAAGGCTTTCTTAGGCTTCCCCTGTAGATTCCACAGCGCTGCCAAGACTGTATGAGCTTGATTCAGGAAGGAGCAATCTGATTTTAGACTAAGAATGAGAGTGAAGAGACAAGGTGGAGGAAAAGCGGGAGCAGGTACAGAAAGGTGGGAGCTCAGCCCCAAACTGAGGGCCGTCTCAGAGATTACCTACTAGGGTTTTACTCATATAAGCTGTCAGAGTGGTCACTCACTGATTAGAAGTGAGCTGAAGGTGAGCTGATTCTACTGGCATGCTTTTTTACCCTTTCCACCAGACTCTTGTCCTTCTCATTTTGTAGATAGTGACCCTTTTGTGTCGGATTTAATGGGTGCTTAGTTATAAAACCCTTTCACTGAGATATAATAATATTGATATAAAGTATAAATTATTTCACTACAAATGAACACACAACTATCACATCATGACTATTAAGATGTATATTTTCTTTTCCTTTGCTCCTGTCCCTATCACTTGACTCTCCTTTTTACTCAAGGGCAGCCACCATCCTAATCTCTGATGTAAGTGTATCAGCATGCTAGAGCTGCTGTCACAAAATCAGCATAATGGGTGGCTTGAAATTATAGATTTATTGTTTCACAGTCATCTGAAGTCAAGGGTTAGCAGGCCTGATTCCTCCGGAGGCTGTGAAGGGTGGCCTCTTTCAGTCCTCTCTTCTGGGTGGGGTAACTCCCCTGAAATCTTTGTCTCTTTGCCTATAGATCCATCACTCAATTTCGAACAAATGCAGTATACTCTTCCTGTGTCTCTGTATTTGTGATCAGACTTTCCTTTCTATAAGGAAACTAGCCATATTGGATTGGTGTCCACACTAATGAACTCATTTTAACTTAGGTAACTTCTCTCTTCCCTAATAAGGTCATATTCTGAGGAAGGAGCGTTATAAACTTAGCATAGCTTTTGGGAGGGAAAATGTAATTCATCCTCAACTACATGCTGTTTTTGCCTGATATTGAAGCTCATTTAAATGATGATATTGTAAAGTATTAGTTGGTACTGATTTTTCTTTTGGCTAAAATTTTGTGAGATTTATTCATGCATTGATGAAAAGATATAGTTAGTGCCTGCTATTTTATTCGTCTGAGGCTGGGTCTGATTACATAGCCCAAATTGGTCTTAAACTCACAATTCTGCTGGCTTAGCTGTCTGGGTGCTACGATTTCAGATATACACCAGTATGCATGCCAGGCTGCTTGGTTCACTTAAGACGTTATCTAGTATTTTATTATATGATATGGTATGAATACAATCAAAATACATTGTATGCTTGCATGAAATTTAAGTTTGAGTAGATGAGTAGATGATCTGAGAGATAATAAAGCTTCTATGGTTGTTCATGCTATTGAAAAAAGAGGAAAAGGAGAGAATTCCAAACAGGATGCATTGATGAGGGAGTGATTGCTGAGGACAAGTAGGTCAGGTCTCAATGAGTCCTTGAGGATCCATTGGAAGTAGGGGAACTGTGGCATAATACCACAGCTCACTGGTCAGCTTGGATGGGACAACTTTTTTTGTCATTAATTGATGGTTGCTACAGGAGTACTACTTCCAGGACATTTTTAACATGATATAGTTATAGACAGAGGATGCTACTATGACCTACAAAGAAAGTTCCTATAGAAAGTATCTGCAGGAAGACAGCCACAGAAGCTTTTATTAACAAAATACTGAGGGCTGGTGACATGGCTCAGCAGTTAAGAGCACTGTCTGTTGTTCTTCCGTAAGACCTGGTTTGATTCTCAGCACCCACATGGCAGAGAACAACCACCTGTAATTACAGTTCCAGAGTAAACACTTGGAAATATTATTGTAAGAAGTGCCTTTTGCAGTCTCACCTATGTTTAAATTTGATTTACAGAAATCATCTATCTGCCAAGATCTATCTCTATATATATGTACATATCATATATATATCATCTTTTATCTACCTACCTACCTACCTATCTACCTATACATCCATGTTATTCTGGACATGAGTAATTTTTAAATATGTTTTTGGCAAATACCTTTTGCCACTCTGTGGCCGACCTTTTTACTTAACAGCTATCTAATGAGCATAAATTATTAGTTTTAATTACAGTTAAATTTAAAAACTATGTCTCAACTTCTAATTTTCAAATCTTGATGACTAGAGATTTTATCCTTCTATCTAACGTCTTTTATGGTTATGAATGTCTAGTTCTCAAATGTGAGACTTTCGAGTGCTGAACACATTTCAGAAGAATGTATGTCGCTATGCTGCCAAGCCCTCCTTTGTGCTGACAATGTGCTCTGCATTTCACTGTGAGGAAACTGATCACAGTGCATTGTAAGACTGTCACTGTGTGCCAGTCTCTTCACTGGATCCTAAACTTCTATAGAACAAAGAAAATGATTCATTCATCTTTGTACTCTCATTAGGCAATGCTGAGCACATAATAGGTTTTCATTAATTGTTTCCCAAACTGATCATTAAACTTACTAAAATAACCCCAGGGTCTTTAAAATCATACTAATTTTGAGATATAACACAGACCAATTAAATATGACTCTGAGAAGAATTCTTGACACCTTTTTAATATTTTAAGCATTTATTATTTATGTGTGTGTGTGTGTGTGTGTGTGTGTGTGTGTGTGTGTGTGTGTGTGTGTGTGTTTGCATGCACACACATGTGTGGAGGTTAGATGACAACTTGTGGAAGTGGGTTCTCTCCTTCCAAATGTGGGTGCTGGGGAATGAGGTTTGGTGGCAAGCAGTTTTACATTTTGACACATTATTTTGCAGTCCATGAAAAGGTATAGGAGTGTAAGAACATCTTTCTACTGGCATCTAGTTAGAGGTTGGGGATGCTGTTGAATGTCTCACAAAATCCAACACACACTCTCATTAAAAACAAGTATTGGCACCACAATACAGAGATGTTTGCTCAGGGCAATGCATGTCTGGGTTTCTAGATGTATTTTGGAAATTTTGGTCCCTATTGTAAGTGGAAAATGGCTTTACCAAGTAAATTCTGAATGGTCTCATCATCTCATCATGGCTTCTCCATTGCTGCATTGCTTCCTGCAGAGCTGTCCCCAGCTTGCACATTTCCCCCATCTCCTTTGCTGTGGTCTTCTCCTCCTCACCATCACCCTCAGAGGAGTGAGTTCATTACACATTCCTCCTGCCTTCCCCACAGATCCCATTTCTCTTAGAAATTCAGGGTCCCTCCTTTTCAAGCATTGGGAAGCCATCACCAGCTGAACATCTCCAGTCAGATCCAAGAAAAGAAGCACACTCTTGTGTGAGGCAGGAGTGGGAGGCATCTAGTCTTTCAGAGCTGACATGCAGCAGAGATGTCTGTTCCTAAAGAGAGCCTGGTGAAGTCTCTGTGGGGACTTCCCTCCCATGTGACTTCCAGCCCCAGCACAACACTGAGTGTCCAGGAACACATGTGATATTGTAACACTCATCAATCATATCAGCTTTCAAAGGGAAATTGAAAATTGAAGACAAACTTAATTGGTACTTATGATTTTTAGTGTGTCTAGGCCATGTATTAGAGCATAAACAGGTAAACAGAGAAAAGGGAAAAGATTTCGTTAAAGCCAACATATGAATACATATCCAAGACTTTTTCAAAAGGAGGCTTAAGTTTCCCATTGTTCTGTCTTAGATCACTTCTTCATGTTCCAGAAGATTGAACTAAGCAAGCAGATGAAGGAAACCGGGAATGGACAGAGGATGAAGCCTGCTGGGGAAATCCCCCCCAGAGATGCCGTGATAAGTCCGCACTGCAAAGTGTATGAAAATTGGCAGCAGAGCCCACATTCTGAGGAATGCAGTGACAGCAACAAGAGCCTGCTTAATCAAGTGAGCGCTGCCTTTTTAAAAGCACCCAAGACGTCTTTATATAAAAGGCAGAGCAGCCGAAATCTTAGTCAGCCTTTGAGAATGAACGTGTCAAAGGTAAGTACAGTAGCTTAGTGTGCAGGAACTTAAATTTTCACGGGTAAAACAAATTAATTTCTATTCTGCCTGGTGCATGCATCTGACTCTCTGTGGCTTTGTGTAAAGAGAACACAACGGGAATAAATAACTTCTTCCAGAACGCTGGTCCATTGTCAAGCTGCCCTGTGCTTCTCAGCCACTGCCGCACAGCTTAGTCTCTTCACACAGAGGGGCTGCATTGTTGAACTGTAAGATTTCAAGGGACATTGTCAGGTCACCAAGCATATCTATCTGCTGCTTAGAAATCCCAAACCTGTGCCACCCTGAAAGGGTTTCTATGTCCCTGGAAATAAGCAGGTGAAAAAAATACGAATTTATTCTTTATAAAATTCTCTCCTCTCTGTGTGCCAGAATTTCTATTTTGAGCCTGAAGTGAATATTGCGAACCAAACTCTGGTCCTATATAAGAGCCATAAGTGCTCTTAACCACTGAGCCATATCTCCTGCTCCTAATAATGTTTGCAAGGCAGCACAGCACTAGCATCTCATCGTCCCATTTTGCAAAGCCTGAGTGACTTTCTTGTTGTACTAAGTGATGTCAGTAACTTGTATTCTTAGAGAAAAAGACATATAGGAAAGAGAAAAAGATCTGTGATCTATCAAGCTGGATTGGCAGAGGCACTTAGTCATCCTTTCATTCATTCTAACAACTTCCTAATCCCTGACTCTATCTCAATGCACCCCTCTTCCATCACATGAAACTCCATCTTTCCACTGTACAGTTTTAGTCAACATTCCCTATGCTTCGATATGTTCTTTCTTTCCGATAACACTTGAAAAACATCCTTCTAGGCCAGCACACACATTCCTTGCTCCATGCCTGGTTCTCCACTGGAAGTACCAGTTCTTGTCTTTGATTTCACATGTGTTGTGGAACATTACTTTAACTGTATAAAGGTGTGTGCAGTTGTTTACTATGTAAAGATGTGTTACATTTGTTTTTGCCTGCCTAAGACACCCAATTGGTCTAATAAAAAGCTGGACGGCCAATAGCTAGGCAGTAGAGGGATAGGTGGGGCTGGTGGGCAGAGAGAATAAGTAGGAGGAGGAATCTGGGCTTGAGAGAGGAGAGAGAACAAGGGAGAAAGAGAGGGAGACTCCCGGGGCCAGGCAGACACAGAGGAAACAGGGAAGTAGGTCATACAGAATGAAAGAAAGGTAAAAACACCCGAGGGAAAACATAGATGAAGAGAAACAGGTTAAATTAAGTTATAAGAGCTAGTGGGATAAGCCTAAACTAAGGCCGAGCATTCATAACTAATAACAAGTCTGTGTCTTTATTTGGAGGCTGGTTGGCAGTCCAAAGAAAACCTGCTACATACATATATGGCTTCTTTTCTTTGGCATTCATTGTCTTTCTCATTCATACTTCTTTCTGTATGAATTTTAAAATTACTCTCCCATAATCAAATATATTGTGAGCTTCTCAAGAGAACAAACTAATCTTTTCTGTATTTCAAATAAAACTGTAACCCAGGAGGCTGTGGAGATGGCCCAGGGATAAAGCCCTTATTGAGCAGGCATGAGGACCAGAGTTCACTCTGGTTCCCTACTTAGAATCCCAGCACTCAGGAGGCAGAGACTGGGGATCCCCAGAGAAATGGGGCTGGTTGGCTAGTCAAATCAGAGTTCTGGTTCAATGAGTGGCCTTGCCTCAGTATACAAATTAGAGAGTAAGGACCAGGGAAGATGACTGATGTCAACTCTGGCTTATACATACACATATGTGCACATGCATCTGCACACACACACATGTGCCTCCACATAAGAACACAAATATATACATGTATACCATGTACATACACATATAAATATGAAAAAGAAGTATAACACAAAGACAATGGGTTAAATTTAAACACGAGAAATGTCTGGCTTTGTAACATGCTATATTTTCAAAATGCCTGAATTGGTGTCCTTTCATACAATATTTAGAGAAAATGTTTATTCCCTTCTCCACTGGGACAATTGGACACAGCCGGAGCGAGAAAGTGGTGCAGTTTGCCTGGTCCCCACCTGGAGAACAGTTTTCTTGGTAACATTGAATTTCCACCCCTTTAAATGATGTCTTAGGAAGAATATGTTCTAAAAATGAGATGTAATTATCTCAAAAAATGTCAAGAGAGAAAGGAAAAACTTCTAGTTAGAAAGAAAATTATATAGAGAGATCTTTAAATCTGATTTTCTTGCATAACTGAGAGAGAAAATTTGTCAAAGAAGCTTGATAACGGAGAACACACCCAAACATGCCACATGTGGCCATAACAACCTCTACCCAGGACTCAGACCTCCGCTGTGATTTAACTTAATACGATATTTATTTGCTCCGGGTTTCCTGTCCTCTCGAGTTCCTTGGGGCTTGAGGCTGTTACATGCCACTTTCCCCACAGCCTGATGCCTTCACTGAAGTCTCAGCCTCACTGCTAACTGGCCACTTCACTTTGTGTGTGTGTGTTTCATGTGCACATATTGTGAACGTTAGATTTAGAGTTCAGTTCAGTGTCTAACATAAAGAAATGGTTTTGTGACTTTTGAGCAGATTGTTAGAGTGCCTGCCCTCCACCAGATGCTCAGTAAACACTTGTTGAAAAAAATTAATAAAGTAAGTGGGGGAGGGGCCTGGGCCTGTGGCTGAGTAACTGCTGTATTGACATTAGGTGGACGTCTGAGCTCCGGCTAAATGGCTTAAGTCTATACGTATGACTGCTATATGACTCATAGCAGTTCTTTAGAATTTAGACTTCATTTACTTAAATTACACTAAACCATTTACATTTTCTGACAGAACTTATTTCTTTCTAGTGAACAGAAATATTTGCTTGATCTCTGATCATGGGGCGTACATTTGCAGCACTGTACTCTTTCGCAGTTTGTGGGAATCATTTGTAATACAGTAAAGCTTTAAGCAAAAATCTTGCCTGATGCCGGGCGGTGGTGGCGCACGCCTTTAATCCCAGCACTCGGGAGCCAGAGCCAGGCGAATCTCAGTGAGTTCGAGGCCAGCCTGGGCTACCAAGTGAGTTCCAGGAAAGGCGCAAAGCTACACAGAGAAACCCTGTCTCGAAAAACCAAAAAAAAAAACTTGCCTGATTACTTCTCCTATATCTGGAAGTTAACACACACACACACACACACACACACACACACACACACACACCCCATACTGTGTTATTATATTGCTATAATCCTCTGAAGTAACCTAGTATATTTGAGGCTGATATTTAAGTCTTTTATCTGAATACTGGAAAACACTTGGGAGTGAGTTAGACAGTCTTGCATCATAAGGTACTCTAAACACGCTACGTTCTAATTTGTATGAAAACCTCAATTTAAGGCACCCATTTCTATAGTCAGTTTAAAACAGTGGTCCAGAGAGAACACCAGTATGGTGATATTTTATTTGTATTAAAATGTTATTTGTATGTTAATAAATAAAGTTGCCCGGGGGTCAGAGCTATTAGCAAGCCATAGGAAAGCAGGGCAGTGGTAGCGTATGCTTGTAATTCCAGCACTTAGTAGGCAGAGCTGGGTAAGTCTCTGTGTGTTCAGGGATACAGCCATTATTGGATACACATGCCTTTAATCTTAATACCAATCATGGAAAACCTGGAGGCCTATACAGACAGGCTGTGAGGAGGCGGTCATGTGGTTGGGTTTACAACCAATGAGAAGGCAGGACAGGAACTCTATATAAAGACTTTAACACAGGGGTAGCTCTGGTTCGGAGAGGTAGGACCACTGCAGGAGGAAGGGTAAGGTTTTGGCTCTTGGCTCTGACCTCTTGGCTTTCTTCTTTGCATTGGTTCTGTGTTTATTGTTTGATGGGAAGGTTGGATACATCTACATTACACACCAGTGCCTCCTCACCTGACTTCTCTACCCAAACATCAGAGCTGAGCTCTCCTGATGTTGTACCTGTGTTTGCATTACCCCAGTCATGCAGGCATTTTCAAACAAAAATGTGACATGCTTGAGCTGTGAGTGCCTACTCTCTCCTTTCCCACAACATCCGTACACTTGTTATATGTTACAAGCTAGATACCCCCTCTACATTAACAAACAAACAAACAGGAAACAAAACTGCCCCCAAAAGGAGTGGCTGCTGTTTAGAGTACACATTTAAAAACATTGTAAGAACCTGGTCATAGGTTCATGTTACAAAAGTCTGAATTTATGTTGCGAAACCTGAACCTTTCTCTTGTAATTACTGTTCCTATGGAAATCTTGGAAAAGGTAACTTTTGGAATGGTGAAAGAAAAATCTTTGAGGGGTTTAGGGAATCTCCATTCGATTCACCTAGAATTTGTCATGTATCATCCTTATACAATTATCTTCTATTCTTACTTTATTTTGATCTGTCTTCTGTAGATTGGGAAGGATTTAAAAAAAACTATTTTTAATATCACAAGCCTTTTCCACTTTAGACCTAAGCTTTAAAAACTTTTAGAAATTAAAAATAAATTAATTTATGTGTACTTGTTTGTGCCTGGTGTCTGTATGTACATCACGTTCATGTAGGTACCCTCAGAAGCCAGAAGAGGGTGTCAGAGCTTCTGGAACTGGAGTTACAGGTTGTTGTGAGCTGTTTAGTGTGGGTGCTGGCAACCTGGGTCCTTTGTAACAGCAGCTAGTACTCTTAAGCACTGAATCATCATCTCTCTGCCCCTCCACTTTAGAACTAGTAATGGACATCTTTGGAAGGAGGTGAAGATGGTCTATGATTTGGCATTCAAGGGTATAAACATCTTGAATTAAGTATCCCTGAGTATCACTGCAAAAATTGAAGTTTCTAGTCTAGTCCACTTTGTGGCTGCTGATCATGGACATTTGGAGGTGATTTTGCCCCTGATCCTGCAGAGCGGCACAGCATAAGGCCAGGCCTCTCCATCTCTAACTGTGGCTGCTAGAATGGTCAGTTTTCAATACCATTCCTGCAACAGTTTCAAAATTATCCTTGGAATACCGCTTCTTTTGTCAGCTTTAGGATGTATGATTGCCTTTCTTGAATGCACTGTATAGTGACTCATTCAAAGCACAAGTACAACATTTTTAAGGTAGCAATTGGAATGAATGGGAAGTCCTTTTTCAAAGCTTTGCTTGACAATGTGTGGTTTTAGAAGGAAGAAATTTACAAAAATCGGTGCAGAATAGAGGGGAAAGGTGAAAAACTAAGTTTTCTTAGATCCCCTGCTTCCCACATGTGTATAAAGACATACAAATAACGACAGCATTTCTCCCCTTTTTATTTTCGTCCCATGAATTCAGCAAAGGGCATCAAGCATCTCCAGCTGTGATAACTGCAGTGTAAAGTGAAGTGCTCTTTCAAGTGGGGAAGCTGGAGCAGTCTGAGGCAGCTCATGGGGATACGTTTCACAAGCAGATGCATCTTATAGGAAAGAAGCCTGAGACAGATGCTGAAGGGTCAGTGTATGAGGACTGGGTAAGGTCAAAACGTTTTACCCAGTTTTGATCAGAGGTTTGAACTGTGATTTAGGAACATGGGATCCGAAAGATAAGCTGTGATCAACAGAATATACCTGAGTACCCAGAAAGCTAACTTACCTATTCTGGCATTGTGGCATCAGACTTTCATCTTTTATTGCTACTTATTATGTTATATTTCTGGGATTTCAGTGTTACTGGGGATTGACTAAGATCTGGGCATCTGCTAGGTACTGACCCTCCCTCTATCTACTCCTCTGTGTATTTTCTCCACAGTTCTTTCTTTCAATCATACATGAAAGAAATTGTTATATGCATGCCTTTTGCTCCATATATGTTTTTCTGAGCACCCACTCCAGTAACTGTTCTTGTGTTTTACACCATGCCTTTGAATTTAACCTAATAAAGTGGACCTTTTTTAACAATTTAAAAAGAAGGGGATTTAGTCGGAATGAATTTGAGTTATGTAAATATTACTACGTGAAAAATTTCAGGACCCAAACTGAGGTCTACGTGAATCTTGCACTCGTTTTTAACTACAACATGCTCTGTCCGATCCTATTCTTGTTCTTAGATTGTCCAGCCTAATTTACATTTATCTTTAGTACTTTCTTTGGTGGCTTCTGAGTTCATCTCTGAGAGTTATTATCTCACAATGATTTAGTGGTCTCAGAGATACATAATAAGCACAGTATTAAGTGTTTGGTGAATGACCAGTTGAGAATGATTGAAGTTGGAGAGATGGCATAGTGGTTAAGAGCACTTGCTACTTTTGAAGAGGACCTAGGTTTGGTTCCTGTCACTCACATGGTGACTGCCAGTTGTCTATAACTCAGATTTTAGGGGGAGTTGATATGTCTTCCGGGTCCTCAGGAACCAAGCACACATACACACAGGTAAACGCTCTAATATACACAATTAAAACAGCCCAATCTTTAAAAAGAAAGGCAAGTAGTGCTTCTTTTGGCAAAATCATCTTCAGGTTATAACTTGAAGGTTTATACAAAGGTTTTTTGAGGAAGAATTCATTTCTTTCTGTCATCTTCATGGAAAGTGGTGATTCACACTAAAGACCATTATCTAGCCTATAACATAAAATAGCATCAGGCATGTCTTATCCTCTTTCTGGGTCTGGACTACACTCTGTTATTATTCCTAGCCACCTCTGGAGTCACATGACCACGCATGCACTGTCAGCAGTCAGGCAAAATGCTTAATCACTCCAGGGCCTTATGTCCTACATAATCCATGCAGACCGTGGTCACATAACCTGTGCACGAGTGTGGCATAGTCACATAAGCCCATATACGCATGTGTGAGGTGACCTACAGAAGCAGGCTCCACCCCTCCTCGCTCTCTCCCTCTCTCCAGAGGTAGTGTGCACCTCTCCCCTCTCTGTCTCTCCCCCCCCCACCTTCTTTCTCGATAAGCCTATCCACCTCCACTCTTTCTCTTCCCTAAAAAAATTCTTATAGTGGGTTCTGTTGTACCTAGTATTTTCTCACTCTCGGTAAATAATGCAGACAAATAAATAACATTGGTGCCATAACCAAACAGGCCCTCACAGTGCCCTGCACCGGGATCCTGAACCGAGGTTGGTTCATCTGCAACTGCCCACTTTCCATCTGCCTGGCTGCCGGATTACTTCGCACAACACCAGCTACTTCGATTGGTGAGTTTTCCCTTAACCAGTCAGCACAAACAGTTCCCTGTCGATCGTCCGGCATCCCTCTGGTGGTTTTGGAACTGAGGGTACCCCCGTCCAAGGTCTTTAGTGGCTACAGTCGGCTCTGATCACTGACTATCACCCCTGGCCATTCCCCATGGCTGCGGTCTGAGGCCCCATTTTTGTGCATTCTTATCCCTCAGACCCCAGGCTACCACGCCAGCCCTTGCTCTTTGCTCAATGGAATACTGAGTGACTTGTGCTTTTATTGACCCTCAGTTAATCTCTGGGATGCCTGAGATATCATAGGCATTGGATCCCATTTAATTTTTTATTGCATTTTTGTCTTTTTTTCTCTCTCCTGTAGCCATGGGAAATAAGGCCTCCAATCCCATAAGCTTCCCATATCCTATGGGATGTCTTTTAGAAACCCTCAGACCTTTCAGCTTAATGCCCTACTTACAGACTTCCAAGCTTATCCACCTCTTCACTAAAAAAATGGCCTAAATATCCCTTAGATAACAATAAAAATGGCACCTAAATGGCTCACTGGACCCCGATATTCTACAGGAGTTATCTCTTCTGTCAGTGAGTGGACAAATGGAGAGAGTTACCTTGTATCCAAGCCTTTTCTCTCTCAGCTCCAAACCCTTTCTCCCTGATTTCTGCTCACCTGCGCTCGTGCTCCTAGCTGTGCAACCTGAATCAGAGGAACCTCTCACTGCACTCTAGACCCTGCTAATGAACCCTCACCTTTCCAACCTCCAGCTCCTTCCTCTCTTCCAGTGACTGTTCCTTTGGCTCCTCCAGCCCCTTCCTCCCCTCTGGTCCTGGGCCGCTCCAACCACATGACTCTGGCTCCCATCTTACTCCTCCTGCCATGCATTCTCAAGCTGCTAAGGAATCCCACCCCAGTCAAACCAACCTGACAGTCATGGCCATCTTCCCTTTGTGAGAAGCAGCCGAGGTAGATGGACTAACTAAGGTACATGTCCCTTTCTCACTGGCAGAACTCTCTCAGATAGAAAAGAAACTGGGTTCTTATACGTCCAACTCTACCTCTTTTATTAAACAATTTCAAAATATCTCCCAATCCTATAGTTTCATCTTTCATGATATATACATGATCCTAACTAGCAACCTACTTCCTGAGGAGTGCAGACGAATCTGGGAACAGGCTAGGAGACATGCAGATGAGGTCCACCAGACTAATGCAGCACATCCTCTCGGAGCTGAGGCGGTCCCTGATCGTGATCCGCAGTGGGATTATAACACCCCAGGTGGCTCCCTATCTAGGGATCAAGTTATGACATGCCTCCCAGCAGGTCTTCGTAAGGCTGCCCTCAAACCAGTAAACTATGAAAAACTTCAAGGCATAGTTCAGGACAGACAAGAGGATCTGTCTCAATTTCTAGAGCGACTTACAAAGGCCCTCTTACAGTATACTAATCTAGATCCTGAGATCCCAGAGGGCAGACAGTTCCTTATGACCCATTTCTTTTTGCAGAGCTTCCCTGACATTAGGGCCAAACATAAGTGTCTGGAGAGAGGGCCTCTGACCCCTCAGGCAGAAGTCTTAGTGCTGGCATTTAAGGTATACCACAGGAGAGATGAAAAAGCTTGTAAACAGGAATATCAAATGCTGCTTAAGGCCATCTGACCAGCCACCCGAGGGCCCCCCGGGTCCTTGTTTTAAATGTGGCCAAGAAGGCCATTGGGCTCATACTTGCCCTGCCCCACATGGGCCACTGGGGCCATGTGCAAAGTGCCACCAAGAGGGACATTGGTCAGTCAACTGCCCCCGTGCACCTCATGGCATGGGGACATCAAACACAGATCACCCTCTAGCTGACCTTCTAGGCTTGGCCGTGGATGACAGGCTCTGGCCCAACAACTGTCATCTCCCACAGGGAGCCATTACAGCATTGGGGCGATCCACTTTTTTCCTTGTGGACACCAGGACCACTAACTGGGTCCTGAGGGAGTTTTGGGGACCCACCTCTCCTTGTCCTCTCCCTATTGTTGTGGTATGGAGACAACTTTACCTACCTCATCAGACCCCACCACTTAATTGTATTTTCAGGGGTATCCCTCTTACCCACATTTTTGGTCATGCCAACTTGTCCTGTGCCCTTTATGGGAAGAGAACTTTTAGCCAAGGTAGGAGCTTCCATTTCATTTGCTCCCCCCATTTGCCAGACCCCAGACTCACCAGCAGCTCCTCTCCTCCTCCTCCTCCTAGCCTTTTACCCCACCCCCAACCCAGGGGAATTCCTCCTCATACACAGTGACACAAACAGAGCCCTGCTCTCCTGAGTTCCAGAGGACACAGAGATCAACTGACTTGTCTTCAATTCCAGAAGAATAAGGTGTCATCCCACAATTGGACTCAATCCAACTGGATTGGGAACCCCATATGTTTTTCTTCCTAAGTCTCCCTCCACGTTCTCCTGTATCTACCAACCACATTCTGCTTCATCAGTTTCCCTCTGTATGTCTAATAACATATTCAAATTTCTAATTAACTACTCAGCTAACCGTCACAGGACCACCATCAGCCACAGAGTCGGAGGCGCAAGGACCATCAAATACACCCAGGCGGTAAGAAACAGTAACACTCCAGAGGTATTCACACCCCAGACTCAAAAGGGTTTGGACTTTGCAAAAACAGACTTTAATATAACAGTTTATGACTGTTAAATGCCCTCAGCAATCGATCACCTGTGTGTCCTGGATGCTGAGGTGATATAGAGGTAATGAAAGGAAACAGGTGCCTTAAGGTTTGTCTCAAGTAAAGATAGGAAGCCTAACTGATAACAGTGGAAAAAAGAAAGTATGTTCCAGAATTCTCTCTCTCTTTCTCTTGATATATTGCTGTGGGATGGTCTGTATGTCAAATGTGTTGCTGATTGGTCAATGAATAAATCACTGATTGGCAGTGGCCAGGCAGGAAGTATAGGCGGGACTAACAGAGAGGAAAATTGAGAGAACAGGAAGCTGGAGGGGAGACACTGCCAGCCGCCATCAGGACAAGGAAGATGTAAAGTACTGGTAAGCCACAAGCCACGTGGCAAGGTATAGATTAATAGAAATGGATTAATTTAAGCTGTAAGAACAGTTAACAAGAAGCCTGCCACGGCCATACAGTTTGTAATCAATATAAGTGTCTGTGTTTACTTGATCGGGTTTGAGCGGCTTGGGACTGGTGGGTGAGAGAGATTTGTCCTGACTGTGGGCCAGGCAGGAAAACTCTAGCAACAAATGGCGCCCAACGTGGGGCCCGAACCCACGACCCTGAGATTAAGAGTCTCATAAAGGAAACTGAGTTAAACCAGTATGTATATTTTAAAGATACTTTGACTTCAAAATTTGGATGTAAGGATATGTTGCTTTGGAAAAGAGTCTCTTTTGTTTCCACAGAAAGCAAGAGGCTATGGATTTGTTCCAGATTAAGACACATTAGGTTTGACCAGCCAAGACCACCTGAAAGGTCTCCGATGACACCATGGCCCAGATGATCCAACATCCAGAACCGTTTCAAGGCAACTGGCTCAGATGATACAGCCTCACGGACTACTCCATGATCCTAAAATTTTCTTTGTTTCCCCAAAAGATACAGCGCCCCCCTCCAGCAGGAAGTAGTAAGAGAAGCTACGCCCAAATTCCCAAATATACCAAGCTGACTTTGGAGATGTGTAAAGGTTAAAACCTTCCTTTTTAAGAAAAGAAAAGGGGAGGTGCTGTGGGATGGTCTGTATGTCAAATGTGTTGCTGATTGGTCAATGAATAAATCACTGATTGGCAGTGGCCAGGCAGGAAGTATAGGCGGGACTAACAGAGAGGAAAATTGAGAGAACAGGAAGCTGGAGGGGAGACACTGCCAGCCGCCATCAGGACAAGGAAGATGTAAAGTACTGGTAAGCCACAAGCCACGTGGCAAGGTATAGATTAATAGAAATGGATTAATTTAAGCTGTAAGAACAGTTAACAAGAAGCCTGCCACGGCCATACAGTTTGTAATCAATATAAGTGTCTGTGTTTACTTGATCGGGTTTGAGCGGCTTGGGACTGGTGGGTGAGAGAGATTTGTCCTGACTGTGGGCCAGGCAGGAAAACTCTAGCAACAATATATGACTCCAAAACTTTAACACTAACCAATAAAATACTGATAGCAGACTACTAAACACTATAATATCATAGCTACCAGCTCAGGATTTTAAATTCCCTTTGGTTGCTTCTTAATATGTCTAAAATTTGTCTCCTTTGTAAACTTAAAAATACTTTTGAGTTCCAGGGAGTCGGCTTGGACCCACCTGGACAGTCAGATCCACTTCAGCTTGTCGGGTCCAAGCTGTCAGATCCAAGCTGTCAGATCCAAGCAGTGCTGGACGATTCCACAGGGCTCAAAACAACAGCGAAGACAATCAGCTACCTCAGAACATCTGGCTACCTCAAGAAGCGGCCCTCCCCAGCCACCCCCAAAAATTAACCAGTGCCCACCAAGTCAGCTGGAAGCAGTTTTAAGAGACACGGTACCCCCATTCCCAATCACCCACCACCCCTAACCCCTTACTTTTTACAATAACAAAAAAAGGTGGAATGTTATTATTCCTAGCTACCTCTGGAGTCACATGACTGCACATGCTCTGTCAGCAATCAGGCAAAATGCTTAGTCACTCCAGGGCCTTGTGTCCTATGTAATCTGTTCACAGCGTGATCAGTGATCACGTAATCTATGCACATGCATGGTGTAGCTGTGTAAACCCATATACACATACACGAGGTGACCTATAAAAGCAGGCTCTACCCACTCCCGGCTCTCTCTCCCTCTCAACAGAGGTAGTGCACATCTCTCTCTCCCCCCTCCCCCCTGCACCTTTCTTTTTGGTAGGCCTACCCACCTCCACCTTTTCCCTTCCCTAATAAAAACTCTTACAGTGGGCTCCACTGCACCTTGCGTTTTCCTTCACCTGGTAAATAATGTCACCAAATAAATAACACACTCAATAGTTACTTTTGTGCTGTTAACTAGCTTCTGGATTAGTTTAAGATTATTCACTGGACCATTTCATTTTTCACAGTGACTTTTGAGAGCATTATCTGTGGATTGTTTTTAAATCATGTTTAGCATTTTAATTCTGTAATTAAAAATAATTGTCTTTTCATCAAGAGTTTCACCTATCTGTGGCCCTCACAAGCTAAAATAATGCACTGTCAATCAGGGTGTATCCACTGGTACAACAGTAGCAAAACTATTGTAGATATATACAATGTATTCCCTCACCCCCACCCCACTCCCACCCCTGAGACAGGGTTTCTCTGTGTAACAGCTTTGGCTGTCCTGGAACTCACTCTGTAGACCAGGCTGTCCTGGAAGTCACAGAGATCTGTGTGCCTCTCCCTCTTGAGTGCTGGGATTAAAGGCATGTGCCACCACTGCCCAGCTATACAATATATTCTTATTGGATTTGAGCCCCATTTCCCAAGAGACAACTGATACCTGCTACTGTAAATCTGATCAAGAACCTATGCCTGGGAGGTCCTAGGCTGTAAGTGGAAAATCTACTACTTGTTTACACCCATAAAACCATTTTTGTGTGTAGGTAGTGGGGGGAAGTTAATGCTGAGACTCATAAATGGTCATAAAAGTGCTGAAAATAAGTGACAATTGAGCACTCAGCTCTAAATGGAGCATCTGTGTCATGCTCTCCAAGGCTCAGAGAACATCTCAGAAGAAGGAGAGGAAAGAATTTAGGAGAGAGAGGAGTGCTGTCAAAGTGTCTTCTGAGCTCGATACGGCCTTTGCATCAGGAACTTGCACAGCTGTGATTGCTCACACAAGAGCTTCCCAGAATAGGAACCCTCAACATTTGATCACAGAGGAAGCCCTTTCCTTACTGAATGACTGTGGGTGGTTAATGGTGGGTGTGTGTGCGTGTGTGCGTGTGTGCGTGTGTGGTGTGTGTGTGTGTGTGTGTGTGTGTGTGTGTGTGTGTGTGTGTGTGTGGCTTTCTTTGGTGATCTAGCCACTGCTAGATTTTCCATGATCCAGTAAACAAATAATCCAGACATATTCCAATGAAATCATCCACAATTTCACTCAGAGGATCTCTCTCTCTCTCTCTCTCTCTCTCTCTCTCTCTCTCTCTCTCTCTCTGTCTCTGTCTCTGTCTCTCTCAAATATACAAAAGAACAGAAAGAAGGAGTGTAGGGCTTGTTGGGAAAAAAGCTTCAGTGAGAGAGAGGAGAATGAGGTCAATGGGGGGGGGGTGTCAAATTCATCATATATGAAATTTCCAAATAGCAACATCAGGACTATGTTTTTAAAATCAAGTTAAAGGTGGTGGATGGAAAAGCTAGAAGACCCTTTTCTTTAATTAAAGTTTTAGTAGAAGTTTCATAAGGTTAATTTCACTACTCTTCCATTTACCAAAACACCCCAGAAAGCCTAGATTTATGTACTTCCAGTGAAAAACATTCTTTTCAGCCTGGTAACTGACTTCCCTTCTTTGACTAAGAACCCTGACACCCCCACCTCTCACCCTTTTCTATGCTGCAGCTGGAGCGATCTCCCCAAAACTATACTTGCTACAGCACTCTAGTTATCAAAATTCCTCAGTGAGGGTAAAGGGTGTATCTCAAGAGACCAGCATTGGCTTGCAGATAAACCAAGGTTCAGATCCCAGTACCCCAAAAGACTAACAAAACCCTTTACTGCATTTTTTTTTTTTTTTTTTGGTTTTTCGAGACAGGGTTTCTCTGTGTAGCTTTGCGCCTTTTCCTGGAACTCACTTGGTAGCCCAGGCTGGCCTCGAACTCACAGAGATCCGCCTGGCTCTGCCTCCCGAGTGCTGGGATTAAAGGCGTGCGCCACCACCACCCGGCCTGCATTTTTATCATCATGAAAACTATTTCTCAATAAACTTGGTGCTTTTATAATAATTTTACTTCTCAACAAAGGGTTAATTATCATTCCTAATCTTTCCTTCTCCACACCATAAGTACACACCACTCAACTTTGGGGTCATTCTTCTTTAGGTCTTTGCTCCAGGAATAATGACAAAAATGTATTTCTGAAAAGCTTTTCATATTATTTTGCCTCTGCTTGCACATGTATTTTTCTTTGCCTGTGTCTTCATCTCTTGTGTAATCCTTATTTATGTCTCAAGGTGTGTCTTAGTTTTGTTGACCCTTCAATATTGTGACACATGGCATCCCTTTGTATGCCCATCATTCTTGATCTTATCTCAGATCAATGATTTATTTATCAAACATCTACTAGATGTTAGGGCTGAAAGAGTGAACAATATATTTATGATCCTTGCATAATACCAAATACTCTGGTAAGTTTTAAACAAACCAGAAGTGCTATAGAATATCAATTTAAACTGTAGCAAGCACTGAGACAAAAATTAAAACAATATAATAGCTCTGAGAGTGACAAGCAGAGGTGGTGGGGAGGATTCTTTAACAGTGTGGTCAAATATCACTTCTTTAAAGAAATCTTTTGTCAAGATGAGAAGGAGTCATCTCTCTCAAAGTTCTAGAGGAAGAAAATTCTAGTCAGAGAGAAAAGAAACACAAATTTTAAAGTAGGGCCATGCTTGCTACGTTTGATGGATGAAAGAAGGGAAGTGTGGTTGAGGCACAGAGAATGAAGGGACAGAAAGCAAAATAAAGACTTGGGGTTTCAGGGACACCAAACCGTCGATGGCTTTATGGCTTCCAGTAATATGTTTGTGTATTTTTCTCTTATCAATGAAAAGTACTCACAGCTTATGATCAGACTTTAATTTTTACTTAGTTCTTTACTTTCTTTAGTTCTTTGCAGACTTTACTTTCTCTTAGTTTTCAGTGAAGAATAAACTCTAGGAGTGTAAGAATGGAGATGGAAATTAACGAATGCCTAGGGTGAGGAATGAAGATGTTAGGAGGTGGGCACATTCGCATTATTTGTTATTTTATTTTGCCATTTATTTTTTTTATTTTGCCATTTCTTAAGATAGGATCTCTCTTTATATCCCAGTCTGTCCTTAGACTGCCCACCCTCTGCTATAGCCTTCCCCAAGTTCTCGGATTATAGTTGTACACCACATGCTGAGATGGCATTTTTATAGATTATATCGATTAACTTTTGAAGTGGCACTCAGAGAGCAGACTTGAAGATGATTATGGGTTTTCATTTAAAAATATTGATGATAATGAAATACGAACAATGGGTAGGAAAAATAGGATTTTAGTTATTTTTAAATTACTGGATTTTTTTGGGACAGTGTCTTACCATGTAAGAGAAAAGAGCCATCATTAGGACAGAGCACGGAACCGTAGTGTCTGGGAAGAGTCCAGTGCTGTCACAGAGAACAACATTTGGAAGCCCAAAGAAGGACTGGAGGTCAAAGTTCAACCAATGACAGTTAGCTATCTCCCACTATTAAAGTTGCTTGTCTATATTTGCACATTCTTTAGTAGATTCTAACTTCCCTGGTACTAGAGAGCATCAACTTTCTTCCTTCAATATATCGGTGCAGAGCCTATCCTACCGTAAGGTCTTAGTAATTATTTATTGAATTGATTAATGAACATATGACTTCTGGGGCTTCAGAAGACTCAACGATTCCTGACAGTGATGAGAAAAGTGGAGAGACGATTTTTGGTCCTTGCACTGACCTCCAGCCAAACTGTGCCTTAAATTTCCCTGAAGTGTAACTTGGGAGCTATAAAAAGCAAGCCCAACAGCTCATTGGATGGCATTCATTGAAGAATGATGGACAGCCAGGCAGAGTGCGCCATGCAGAAGGGGACTGGGAAGAATGACTGGGCTATCGTTTCCGTTAGTTATATATTCACAAATAAGCTGGGAATTGCGGCTCTGCTTTGATTCACCTCACTGAAAGTGAAAACGGAGAACTGAGTGTTTCCCCAAAGGAAATCTAAAACTGAATATAGCATAGATACTAATGGTGTTTTTGCTTAACTTTCAATAATGTATCATTTTATGATTTAATATCAATTCTAGGGAGATACATTAGAAGCGACACATAAAGCATTTAGAGTTCCTCGGAGAAAGCTATTCATAATTCTAAAATTATAGTGATAATTATTGGATAATGAAGATGTCTAAAGTCACATCTGAGCTACACATTGATAAGCTTCTAAATCTGCTTATAGTTCTAAATACAGAAAGGAAGATATTTTTATTCTTATACTACCATGTTTTCAATGTATTTACCTCATAAATTCTTACTCATATTTTAAATGTAGGAGTGTCTCAAATTCATATGCCTTGTTTGTTTTTCAGGGTCTTCCTATGTAGCCCACATTGGAATTACAGGTGTGTGGAATTGCGCCACCTCTTCTGAACTATTTCCTCTTTCCTTTCTTGAAATTTTCCTGAAGTGATTGTTTTTCCCCCTGTCAGCTTAACTATGCCAATGATTTCCACACATATATCTAATCTAGGAATAACCTCTGCAGTAGAGACCCAAATACTTACTATTTATTATAAATTGTTTTTATTTTCTTCTGCTGTTTTCATGTGGTGTGTGTGTGTGTGTGTGTGTGTGTGTGTGTGTGTGTGTGTGTGTGTGTGTGTGTACAAGCATTGTAGGTACATGTTGAAGCCCAAGGTGATGTCGGGAACACCCTCCATCAGTCTTTCATCTTATTCAATGAAACAGGGTCTCTCAATGAAATCTGTATCTCACCAATATGGCTAGTCTCTCGGGCCTCCTTGCTCTGGGAATCCTGTCTGCCTTTGGAGCCTGGAAATAGGGGTGTGCCACCATTCCTCCTGTCATTTTACATGGTTCTCGGCATCTGAGCTCCAGTCCTCCGGCTTGTACAGCATGTACTTGATTGACAGGGCCCTCTCCTGCGCACCCCAGGATGTAAATTCTCAAGGGTGTGACTTCATGTCTGCTTTATCCATGACTGTACCAACAGTTACTTGATGCTTAACAAGTTTCAAGAAATGTTTGCTGAGAGGTGATAATGATGTAACAGTGCTACATTTTTCTTAGTTTTGGCTCATTTAATTACTCAGTGTTTTTCCCTTGTTGATGTGCCCAATTCTGAAATCCTACATTCTTTCAAATGCCACTTTCTCCATGAACTAATGTATTCTTCCGGATGAAGGTAGCATCTCTTCTAGACAACCGTGAAGCTTTATCTGGTCCTTATTAAGGTCTTCTTTGGCCCGACAGATAAACAGATATATACAGATATACAGAATACAGAGTGATAGAATGAAATAGTCTCAATCTGTGATGAAAAACAATCTCTCAGGGGTTGAGGATTTAGCTTAGTGGTAGAGTGCTTGCCTAGCAAGCACAAGGCCCTGGGTTTGGTCCTCAGCTCCGAATTAAAAAAAAGAAAGAAAGAAAAACAATCTCTCTCTTCATTACTCCAGTTTGGCATCTTTTCACCTTGCTGGATCGTCTCATCTTTCTATGTCTGTTATTCTGAAACATGAGTTGGCAGTGGATGCAGACTGAGAGGTGGTTACTGTTCGGGAGGGGATCTGATTTCCCATAAGTTGTTGATCCAGGTTTGCCCAGGCAAGCCCTTGTTCTTGTGTGATCTGGCATCATAATGCACACGGCTCAGAAGTGTCTGAGCTGAATGACAACGTTCACCTAACGGGTAAGTCACTCTATATGGCATAACCGTTGATGGATTTCAAAGAGCTTTGTGTACAGAAAGATATAAAAAGAATGGTAATACGAAATCATCTATGATGTAAACATTTTTGTTATAGAATTTATATTTTCTTACCATGGTGGAAACTTGACCAACCTTATTTCCTTTTACATAAAGAGAGGGGTTATTATTTGCTTAATAATCTATAAGGTGATGTTTGGATGGGGAATAGCTCAAAATCAAATATACCAAGCAAAGATTGTCCCTTGTGAGGACTTACCATCAAAAAGCTTCAAGTCATCAAGGACCCCTGACTTTAGGATGTGATGTAAGGTATAGGGAGCCACAAATGCACAACAGCTCCCTGCTTAACCTGTTCCCAGGAAGCTTTTAAAGGATTTTCTCTGGTGAAATTCCTATTGTATAGACACACTTCTGTATATACACACTTCGTGCAGCAGATGGCGTGTTTGCAACAAATTGTTCTTTCTCTATTCCCACCCCCTCTTTGGAAACTAACCACCAGGTTTCTGCCAGAAACTGCCACATTCAGGGTGACACATGATGCTGTTAAAATAAAACATAAAGGTTAGAGTAAGATCGGTGATGGGTCCTAAATTGAACATTGGTTTCAAGAAACCACCTCTATAAGAGTCTAGAAATGAATAGTCCATAATATGATGAAAAACTCCAGCTGACATCAAAGGAACCTCTTGCCTTCTTTTTAAAGAATTCTGTTTAATTCATAATTCAAAGAGTCCGTGAAACATTCTGGAAACTTTTGGAGAGATATCAGCCCTTCAATTCAAAATGATGCACTCTGGGAAACGGTGGTGCCAAGGTGGCAAGCCTACTAGGGAATTTACACCAGCAATCAATTACAATTACAAAGGGGATTAAAACAGGACTTTAAAGAGCCGAGCTCCACCCTCAGGGCTCCCAGCTGTGTGGTAAACATAGCAAAGGAGCCTGTAATTAGAGGAAACCTGTAATTAAAATTTTCGACCCTCTTAGGGAGACACTCTGAAGGCTTAAAGGGGTAGGAAAGAACTCCATTTCAGTGGTCTTGGGAAGGTACTTCATGTCTTCAAGAGAATCTGTTTCTTCTGATATCATCAGCCCCGTCTTGTGCTAGTTTTTCTTTTAAGTCTATATTGCTCCTACTGTTCAGGAATAATTTGAAGGATTTGCAAATCCACTGCTGGAGACTGATTACAAAAGAGGTGAGTAAATTCTGTCTGTGATAGTAACATAGCCATGGAATTTAGAGCACACACAGACTTCAAGGCATAGACCTCATAAACAGTTGGTACGGTTTTGAGCATGCTCAGCAGGTTTTCTGAGCAGTTTTAAAAGTTTATCTATACTCACAAATTGGAAGAGCTTAACACCCAAGGTAGGGGGTTAAACAGAATGGTGCAATGAGGATTATCTTAATCTTTCCCTTTCAAGATCTTACCTTCAGCAAGTCAAGTGCTGTTAGGGTTAACAGGAAAAACATCACAGATCTCGGTCTGGTTTGAATAGCCCTGGCATTTTCTTTAATGGCAGAATGACATGAACATGATCATGTGATGGGTGATGCTGTACAGACTCCTGGCAGCCACAACATGTTCATACATACCCTATGTAGCATGCCAATAGGAGCCATATACCTGAGTAGTAATATACACGTTCATGGCTTGACTTATGCTTCACTAGTACCTTTGAATGCCACCACCCTTTACGCTAAGCTGCCCCGATGAATGGTCACTTCAATGTTAACAAATGCTTTAAAAGTGAGGCTGAGTAGAAATCCAACCAATGTTATCTGAACTCTGAGGTAAATACGTGATTAAATGATAAGACTATTCAGGCCTGATTTTAAAGTCATTAACTTTGCTTCCGTTTAAGAACTTGACTCATTTCTAAGCAGATTGAAAAATTAAGATATTTTGCATGATGCCCAAGATGTTTCATTTCTAAAGACCCATGAATCTGGAAAAGTGTTTTTAGAAACTCCGAGAAACATAATTAATTACCGAGTTAGGCCCTTTGAGACAGAAACTGCTTAAAGCCTGATATAGACCTTTTATCTAGTTAATTAGCTTTATAGGGAGAATTTTGCACATTTAACAGATGAGTATAGGTTTTATTACTTGAAGCACAACACAATTTATTTTTATGTTGTACTTTTAAATTAGAGGGAAGAAGAGAAAAATGATTTTGAACTCTGAAATAACTCTAGAAGCCCTGATAACAGTGAAGGACAAGGTGATTATTTCAGCTACAATGGATAACGAAAATGTAAGTATAATGTCCCCCTCCCCCCGAAGTGGACCAGTTCATTCAAGATAAGGGACTTGTGGGGTGCCACAGAAGTCTAGTTGTTTGTTACATAGAGTGACTGACTCCTTTTCTTGGAATGAACTCGACTTTGAAATACAGAAATCCCTTTGCTTCTTGGTCTGACATGGTTGAGAACAGTTTGTGCTGACTATCCACTCATTTCCTTGAAGTATGTGAAGTACTAAGATGGTTATGCTATTCTCTTCTTGATACAACATTCTTCCACATCAAATATCTGCTAAGGTAGAATTACCCTTGATGCTCCTTGCAAACGCTGTGAGGAATTTCTCGCTGGCTATGTTCTTTACAACCCTGACGCTCACTTTGATTCTGGTTGCGTTCTAATGGGCTCTCATGCTATTGAACCATCTGTGGCTTGAAACAAAAGTTTTAGCAGGAACACTTTTACTGAACACAGATTTTCCATTCTTGAGCTTGTGGGCAACGCATGACTAACGGGTACCATAGGTAAATATAACACCAGCCACTTACACATAAGTTTCTCACTTCTCAGTTGTGCTTTTTTGTTTCTTGATGCACAACTGTGTTTTCACAGTTGCCTCACACTGGTCCGTGATGGGTGAGGCCACTTATGCCCCTGAGAGCCAACTGACTGTCCAAATACCATCTCCTGTATGCACGGCAAAACCATTCATGTAGCCCTTGAAAAACATTACCTTACAGCTCATTTCTTTTCAAACCACATATACCTTGTTACGCATCCTAACAACAATATCATTACTTTAACTTTTAAAAAATGGGGGTAAATAATTCTCTCAAGAGTATTTCAAGCTAAAAAGCTGCAAAGGTTATGAACACGACGACTGTGCTCCTTGAATTCAGTCAAAACTGTCATATCCAAAGGAAACTCCATTTTCCTAAATTCTGGTAGTTAGATAACAGTCAGCATTCCTCAGGAACTTGTGGAGCTGGTTCCCTCTACCAAAGGGAGTCATTTCCCTTACCACTGGCAGAAGGGATAAATAGCTATCTGCAGTGCCTATTGGCACACCAAAGTGCATGCTGGCCTCCGGGCTCCCTCAGTGTCACACATACCTGTTGGGCTCCATAAGGCCTGGGCGTGAGGCTCAGTGTAACTTCCCAAGCCTAGATCAAGTTTGGCGACATGTCTTCGGACATGACTTCTACACACGAGTGACTCAGCTCTACCGGACCTAGAATCGCCTCTGCCTAGTAACTGCTGAGATAGCATCATCTCATTGGCCCACTATCCTCACCCCATCCCCCCAACCTATATAAGTCCACCCGTGATGCAATAAAACGAGGTTCTGCTTTGACAAGACTCCCGGCTCATTGTGCTTCTCTCCAGTGGACAGGGGAGGTCTGGGCCATCAACACTCACCATCCTGCTCAGCCCCAGGGAGAGACAGACTGGACTGGTCCTGCCTCAGACCTACCTGTCAGTCAGCCTGATACATGCTGGCATTGTGGCTCCCTCTGTGTCACAGATACCTGTTACACATTTCAGAGTCCATGCTGGCATCCTGGCTCTTCTCACTTCCTTCCCTACCCTAAACTTCTTCAGCTCATGGGCTCCCCCTTCCCACAGTTACTCTCTCTCTCCTTATGTTTTGCTCTCCTCTCTTCTGCCCGTCTTCATCTCTCACTCTCTCCATCTCTCTCTATACGTCCATCTCTCTCTGCTCTTTTCCAGCTTCTCTTCCATCAGGCCCAGTCTCCTGGCCATGTTCAGTCTCCTACTTTCTCTCTCTGCCCCGAACTCTTCCAGATGCCTCTGACTGTTTTCTCTCTCATATCTACAATAAAGACCTTCCCCCTCAACCACACCATGGAGTGGTCATGTCCTCAGTTTATAAATAAACAAACAACAGCAACAACAACAAGCTTGAGAACTGTGACAAGGTTGCCAATTTTGCCAATAGAGTACTCTTTGGAGACCTGAAGCACAGGGCTTAGATGGATGTGAGGTGGCACCAAGGGCCTGGCTTAAGGCTGAGAGGATATTCCTTATGAGTACATCCTGTAGTTAAGGGTGCCACTCAAACTGCTGAGTCTCTGTTCTTCTGCCTTGAATGGTGCTTGACTGACTCTTGTGGTGAGTGTAGATCTTGCAGAAAGCAGAAAATCATACACACAGGAGGCAAGAGCACAAATGGTTCATGGAGCCATATAGTTGCTTTTATTGCGTTTTTAGGAGCAGGCTAAAAATGGCTTAAAGTTCAAAAGTTGATTCTTTATATTAGCAATCTGAAACAAAATTGAAAAGACATAAAGCTGAATGTGTCCTCCAGCCCTTCAGCAAACCTTTATTGTTGTCACTTATCATGAACTTTTACTCTGATAAAAGCTTATGAAGCCCTGAAAGGCACCTCGTGTACTGTAAACAACGATTTATGGGGCAAATGAGTAACTGTCAACTTCTGCTCTCCCTTACAGACTTTTTACCTGCTGTCTCTCTTGTGGTGAAATGCATAGCAAAACATGTTCTGAACAGTTTTATCATAAGCTCCAAACAAATAGAAAAATGATTGGCATTCTAGCCTCTGTCGATCAAAGAAGATCCCACAAGACAGGTATTGTCTGATGAAGTTTTGATGAAAGTGGGTAAAATGATCTAATGGTTTAGTGGTACTAGAAATAAAATGAAGAAACTATTCCATGGTGATTTTGTAAACAAAACAAAACAAAAAGCTTGAGAATTTATTTTAATGAGTGTATTTTTATGTGATATGACCCCTCTCTCTCTGTATGTGTGTGTATCTTTCACATTGAATATATTTATTAAAGACTTCAAGAAAAATTAAGCCTCCTTCCAAAAACTATTTGATGTATGCCATTAATGAAGGCTAAGAAAGTGAAATGATATGTGCAAGGCTGTAATTAAACTCTCATGTATCCTGAGTCTCTGTCCAGTGTATTATATTTATATGTAATGCTTGGTTCTGTGAAAATATCTAGAATTACAGTTACCTTGTGTGGCAAAGATGAGCTTTAAGAAGGAGACAGTTTCAAACCCATGGAGAGTATGTTTTCAGTCAATACATTATGTGAAATGGCTTCCAAATTTGAAAAGCCAAGGAAGATTATCGTGTCGTTTTTGATGAGGTAGAACCAAAGTGGGAAACTCATGATAATATGCAATATGTTAGCTCTGTTTTTCTTCATAATACAAGCAGTAACTATTAATGAGTTTCAACCTATACCAACTTTTCATTTCAGATTTTATTCATGCTACTCTTGAGAGAAAATTATATACGCTTGCTAAGCTTTATTGCTAATGATGTTCAGTACCTTCTTTCTTCTTTCTCCCCCACCTTTTCTTCCCCTCTGTCACTGCACGTGTGCACAGTATATGTGCATGTGTGTATGTGTGTTGGCATGTATGTAGGTAGACTGAGCCATTGCCTCTGTTCTCATTCTTGCTTCTTCTTCCTCTCTCTCTCTCTCTCTCTCTCTCTCTCTCTCTCTCTCTCTCTCTCTCTCTCTCTCTCTCTCTCCTGGTCTCTCTCTCTCTCTCTCTGTCCCCTTCTCTGTTTCTTTTATGCCCCCCTCTCTCTATGTAGTACTGAAGATAGAATTCAAGGCCTCAATCAGGCTGGCCAAGTTTTCTGCCATTTAATTAAATCCCTTTGTTTCTCAATTTTCTTTAACAATATTGAGCAGGAATTTGTAATTTCTTGACTTTTTAACAAGGAATGCTGTTGAATAAATTATTTTAGTAAAGAATCATGATTTTCTTTATAAATCAAATAATCTAAGGCCATTAAAAACCAAAGAGGAGAAGACTTCACTGTAATGTAAAAGGCAATGATGCCGGCTTTGGGGATCACTAATGTGTCCTGTATGTTACACTTACACAAACATGCATGTGATTTTTAAGTGGGTTGTCCTTCAGTTCCTTTTCAAGGGGCCTTGACTCCTGCACTCCTTCCTAAGTACTCTGTTAGAATTTGCATTTACTCTAACTATGTTTAGGAAGTGTAATGTGTTCAAAATTGTTACAGAGATCAGAAGAGAGGACAGACGTAAAACAATATTTTCAAGTCTCTCACACCAAACAAGGGACATAAGTGTCCCAGTACTCTTGTCGCAGCCCTTACTGTAGCCACCTCGTGCTGTGGCTCAGCATACGCACCTGCAGGAGAGAGCTGCTGTTTGAGGGTGCTTCTCTCAACAACTTTTTTGTTTCTTTTCCAGTGTCTGACATAAGAAAATCATCCAAAAATTGTTGAAGAAATGACAACATGTTGATCAATGTAGCTCATAGTGCTTTCAATGTTCCTGTCTTTAATAATACATTATTGTGGTGATGGAAGTAGGCTAACTTGCTATTGTTGTTATGAACAAGACTTGCAAGAGGTCAGGACAACCTGAATATTGCTTGAAGTCATACAATTAGATTAGAGGTGTTCTGCTGCAGGGAGGAGAGACACCATCAAAGAAAGACATCCTATTTTCTCAACGTTGAGGGCCAAGCAAACATCACTCAGTCATTTTGCTTTCTTCACATGTGATCAACAGTTGTGTGGTAGGAATAGGTAGTGTACCAATTTATACTTATTTACAGTATAACTTTGATAAGTACCTGACTCTAGTATTGATTCTTGAGGACAAAAATGGCAGTTTGATATGAGAAGCTCATCTGTGTTTAATTATTGTTGTACAATAAACAAGCTGACTCTAGTTCTCGTCAAATCCCTTGGGATTTTTAACAAATGGCTTATTCTCTGGAAATTAAAATGCCTGAGAATTCTCAGAATTTGTAGAAAATATGTACTAGGCTGTTAACATTCATTTGGTCTTTATAAATATAATTAGTAGTTTTATGTGTGAATGTGTGTGTGTGGGGAGGGTTACTCTACCACTAAGCTATATATTCAACTCCTCAAGTATATTTTCTTGATCTATCAACACACTTTTTAAATGTAAAATATTCTAAATCTTGGATATTGTTCCTGCTACATCTTAGAGCTTGAAGGAAAAAAGAACATTTGCTTCAAGGTTCTGCAACTTCTAGATTGCACCGCTTCTCTGTTCTCACTTCCTCCATCTTTTACATCCTAAGTCCATCTAGTCACCGTCATCCTTTCAATTACTCCTGAGCAGGCTTGCACCTCAGGCTCTGTCTAGCTTGCCAGGACTGTTCTTCCCATATTCTCATATGGCTTGCTCCCTCCTGTCCTTCAGATTTCTGCTCATATATCAAGTTGTTGGTGAGACAGTTTCTGCACATCTTATATAAGATAGTAGTTTTATTACTATAAACAAATAGGCATTTGGTACTCAGCATACCTGTTTATTTATAAAATATTAACAGTTGAATCTGGGATTGAATTTGTTGTAGTCCACAGACCCAGGCAGGGTAGATCTAAAGTGGTATGAGCTTTGATGATTCTATATCTCTTCTACTTATTCTTGTCAATATTTTCTCAAGATTCTCCAATAGCAAACATAACCCAGCTACTTCAGGATGCCAGTCATAGTTTTCTGCACTTTAGATAGGAATCATTCTACTGCCTTTTACTTTGGATACTTCTACATAGTGATGGAAGGAAGTGATTTCTATTCCCTGAGTTCTTTCTCTTTGACCTTGGGTGAGTGATTTCATTATCTCCCTTCCCTACATATAGAATGATTAGTACTACTGACTTGGCCAAATACACAGAGCTGCATCAGGATGAAATGCAGTGTGTTTCAACGTGCTTTGTAAAATAATACAGTGATCAAAGCAATGTGGTGACATATGCCTGTAATCTCAGCACCTGGGAGCCTGAAGCAGGAGCATCATTGGTTTCAAGTCAGCCTGGGTACATAGTGAAAACTCATCTCAAAAAGCCAAAGTGTGGTGGGATAAAGTGCGGAAGGAGCATTTGTTGTTACAACTAATCTAGCATCTGAGAGTTTGAACTTTTAGCAATGTTATCGCTTCAGTTTCTCAACTGAGTGAGTTCTTGTAATGGACCGCTAAACATAAGTGACACTAAAATAACTCCCTGCGTACACTGCAGCTTGGGATACAAGATAAAGGGATGAACTTGCAGATTCAGAATCATATTAATTAGTTAAATCTCCCTGGTCTAGTAGACAGTAATAAAAATTAGCATGACGCTAAGTAACTTTTGTTTTCTCATCATTATTATCAAATTAATTAATCTCACTTTAAAAGTCCATAACAAACTTTTTACCCTTGCCACAGTATTTAAGATAAAATTATGACATAATTTCCCCCAAACCAAGAACATAATGTATACTTTTTTCCCTATGCTGTTTAATGACTAATTCAGAGTCAAAGACTTGTGAGATACAGTTGTCCAATACATAGGAGATCCTGGGTTCTTTCTGTTCCCAGCACTGAAAACAACCAAACAAAGCCCCTCCCCCGACACACACAAAAAAATAAACCCAAGAGACAAACAAGGCATGAAAGGAAATGTAATGAACTTCTCCATTGAAAAAGAGGAGACTAATCTTAAGAGCCATCGTCTATGTGTTAAGTTTTTGGGAAGACCCCATGTAGGTTAAGTCAATAAAGGAGCATATGAAACTAGAAATTCTTTTCAGAACTATTTTACTTACATTTTTACTATTTAAAATATTGTTGAAGGCATTATAGACTTCTTAGTGAACATCAATGAAGTTACAAATATCTACATTATGAATTATTTTCTACTTTTATTAAAATAGCAATTATCAAGATTTAAGGTTTTATCACTTCTATTCCTTTTGGGTCCAGAGATGTCTTTGTAAATTCCTCACAGAGCTGGCACAGTAGTGCTGCCATGAGACTGATGGTGACTGAGTAGGCTATAAACAAAACCTCCACCAGGCATGGTGGTACACACCTTTAATTCTGGCACTTCGGAGATAGAGGCAGAGGCAGGTGGATCTCAATGAGTTTGAGGTCAATCTGGTCTGCATAGTAAGTTACAGTCCAGCCAAGGCTATATGGTGAAGTCTTGTCACAAATCAATCAATCAATCAATCAATCAATCAATAAACCCTCCAAACTTTCTTTTTCTTTCTTTTTTCTTTTTTGGTTTTACTAATGAATTTATGGAAATCACATAAAGTAAGAATGATTTAATTAGTACAATTTATAGTACCATTGTGTAATGGGTCAAAGAATAGAGAATACAAACACAAACTGTTAATCATTAACAAAAAGAAAACATCAACTCTCAAGCCCACATTTTGATCTTTTCATTTTCAACAGAGATTCTATGTTTAATCTGATGCACACAATCACACACAAAATGGTTGTCGTTTTTAGACAAGGTTTGACTATTGTACCTCATGCTAGACTAAAAATCTGTGATCCTAGACTGAAAATTTGTGACCCTCTTGCCTCACACACCTCACTCCTGCAATTTCTTCTATATATCACCACAGCTACCTAAAGTGGATAGTTTTACATAATGACTCAGCTTTGTTTTTACAAAAGTTTGAGGCATAATTTCTTTCTATTATAGAGGTCTTCAATGAACTTAGGATTTGCACTATAAAGTTGATCTTTATGTAGACATGTATTGTTATTTATATACTCCTTTGTTCACATTGCCAATATAGCAATAATGATGATAGAAATCTTTATTCTTATTTTTTTTTCGATTTTTTGAGACAGGGTTTCTCTGTGTAGCTTTGCGCCTTTCCTGGAACTCACTTGGTAGTCCAGGCTGGCCTCGAACTCACAGAGATCCGCCTGGCTCTGCCTCCCGAGTGCTGGGATTAAAGGTGTGCACCACCACTGTCTGGCTTATTCTTATTTTAAACACAATTATTTTTAAAGATTTTCTATACTATAATATGGTGATATTTTATTTGTACTGAAATGTGATTTTATTTGTATGTTAATAAATAAAGTTGCCTGGAGATCAGAGCTAATAGCAAGCCATAGCAGAAGTCTGGCAGTGGTAGCACATGCCCTTAATCCCAATCACATGACAGGCAGATCTCTGTGTGTTCAAGGATACAGCCAGCATGGAGACACATGCTTTTAATCTCAATACCAAGCGTAGAAGACCTGAAGGTCTGTATAGATGGGCAGTGATGAGGAGGTCATGTGGTTGGGTTTACAACCAATGAGAAGGCAGAATAGAAAGTCTATAAAAAGACAAACACACAGGAAGTAAGTCTCTTGCTGAGGAGGACAGCAGTGGCAGTGAAGGGTAAGGTTTTTAGCTTTTAACTATTGATCTGACCTCTTGGGCTTTTAACCCTGCAATTGGCTCTGTGTTTCTTATTTAATAAGATTGTTCATCTACATCATAATAATTAAATTAAATTATAGATTAGCTCTATCATGTTTCCATCTATGTATGTGTATATTTATTAATTTTTTTATTTTATTAAATTTTCTATTCATTTCACATACCAACCTCAGATTTCCACCCCCCCAAACTTTCATAATAGAAAATTCTTTAAATGTTTCAATTCATGAGACAGTGTGTATAATAATTATTTATTTTTAAAATAAAGTTGAATTGTGGCATGTTCTAAAGAACAAATCACCGTCAAATAAACTGCCACCAATAAACTCGAGAGGAAAATGCAAACATATTAAGTGAACCCACAAAATTTTAGTCTTGGTTGAAAATTGTAGAATTTCATAGCCAGTGCTTTTCCATTTTTCTCCTATCATTTTACTTTTGTTATGCATGGAAGCATCTTGTGATAGAGTGAGAGAATGGGGTGCTAGGAAAGAAAAATGTAATCTTAAATAGCATTTAACACATGGTGATTACTTGTTCTTGCAATTCACTATTGATTTTTGGAAATAACAGTATGATATTACAAGTATTGATCCAGTGTAATTTGACATTCTTGAGGAAGTAGTAAAGTATGTGGATAGAAGTAAATGCAATGAGTCATTCTATATTGAAGACACAGTTATGGCAGTTAATGATAGAGTTAACAATTGCCTCTTTGGATAATGAATATTGGGGTCATACTTTGCTCTTACATCAGCTGCTCTCAGTAAGCTAGGCCACTGTCAGCAAGGATAGACCCATATTTTCTTTCCAGGTACAAACCTATTTTAATTTTTTTTCCTTAGGAGTAGTAGTGGAATAGAGGAATTGGGTTGGATTTGGCAGCTACTCAGCTGTGCAAGTTTGAGAAAGTCATTTTACTACCTTGAGCCTTGAACTTATAAAGCAGAAGAAAATAATGACTACTTATCCATCATGATTACTGTGAAAAATAACATAAAATGGACATAATGACTATGCCAGGCTGCTAGTAAGCCGTAAGTGCTAGGTGTTTTTCCCTTTTCAGATTAGAGGTTTAAGGTGAAAGTAAATAATCACTAATGATTGTAGAACATGTACATGGTTTGGTTCAAGTTGACCGAAAAATACACTTCAGATTTAGTACATAAAACCACACCAACACAGTAGTTTTGAAAAGTTATAGATCTATATGTGCTGAATGCTCTCTCCACCTGGAAAAATCTTTTTCCTTCTCTTCACTTTTAATGAAACCTTAGTCATATTCAGCCTTTTGTCTTTTAGGAAGTCTTTTCTGATGCCCCAGTCACTGTGACTTCTTTTTCATATTTATGTACTATACAATGTACCCTCTTTTAAGATGCCCAGGATGAACTGCTGTAGTGTGTAAAAGTTATTGTTCTCTTAGTAACCACACCAGTTGCTAAGCTGTGTGAAGCCTGCACAATTGCACACGCATCTCATGTGTGTGCTCATTTGTGCAGGTGCATTCCTCTGTGCATCCCTGTGCGGAGGCCAGATGTCGACATTGGCTGTTTCACTCCATCACTTTTCATCTTATTTTGGGGGACAGAGTGTTGTGAATATTTGTACTGTGTGAAGATACATTACTGTAATTGGTTTAATAAAGAGCAGAATGGCCAATAGCTAGGCAGGAGGTATAGGCGGGACTTCCAGGCAGTGAGAAAGGAAGTAGGAGATGAATCTAGATGTGTGTTAGATGCCAAGGGGACATGGAGGGAGTTGGACATATAGAATGAAAGAAAAGTAAAAAGTCACGAGGCAAAACGTAGATTAATAGAAATGGGTTAATTTAAGTTATAAGAGCTAGTGAGACAAGCCTAAACTATAAGGGCTAGTGGGACAAGCCCAAGCTAAGGCAAAGCTTTCATAATTAATATATCTCTGTGTTGTATGGGAGCTGGCTGGCAGGACAGAGAAAGACTTGTTACATATGGCGCCCAATGTCTGGCCATGTACATCTACATAAGGACAAGAAAGCCCCCCCCCCCCGCAAATATTCTGAACACAGAGTCAAATGCAACTTCTTGACATGGTTTTCTGGTGACCAGCGTCTCTTGGGTAGGCTCAGCATATAGAGGTGCAGCTCTTTTAAGAGGCTATGCTGTGCAACAGAGCATTTGAGCAGCTGGCCCAATATAGGTAAAATAGGTAAAAACACCTGCTGCTTGGACTCAGCAAATTCCCAGAGCTGGGGCAGTAAACATGGTGGGTGCCACCATGAGGCTAGGCTCTCACAGAACTGAGGGGGCGGGGCCAGTTGCCAGAGCTGTGAGGAGGCTGGTGTGGCCATTTTAAAGGTTGGTCTGGTGTCAGAGAATGCTACAGACTTTCAGAAAGTCAGGTCTAGATCAAGAAATCCTCAGATTGGTAGAGCATGCTTAGAACCATGCTTAGATGCTAAAGAGAGATAAGAAAATGGATATAGATAGTCATAGAAAAAATAAACAATTTAAACATAATGAAGTCTTTAAAAAGAGAATAAAGTGATATAAAAAATATAAGCCATGAAGGGATGGAAAACATTATAACACAGGGAGTTTGAACCTTACATGGTGCTTTGTTAATTCTGAAATTTTTGAATACTAATGAGTAGAGAATGACAGCTGCTGAGAGACATTGGATTGTGGAAGGGCCTACTGAATAAAACTAGTCTATATACTTTAGAGACGTATTAGCTTCAAAATGGAAGTTGGAACACATTTGTTGTATTGGGGAAGAGGTTATTCCTTTTGTTTCCACAGGAACTGAAAAGCTATGGATCCCTTCAAATTTAATTGAGATCAGATTTAACCAGGAGAGACCTCCTGAGGATCTTGGCTACAGACACTACAGACATGAGGGGAAAAGCCAAGAAAGACTACAAAACAGGTGATATACAAACTGGTCCCTCAGTTTTGGGAACAGCTCTGAGACTGGATGAGACATGATAAATCTTGTTGGCGTCAGAGTCCTCATGACTTATTATTACATGCCATCCTTTCATATGGCATGGATAGAGATTTGGTTATACAGTCCAAATGGACTTATAAAGTTGACAGATGCTCAAGCATTAAACAAAAGTCATTGTTAGCTGACTTATACACACTGCACCTTCCATACTTATGTTAAATACAGATATATATGTTAGCTTTAAAAGTTTATTTGTTTTCAGAAAAGAGGACCAGACACCAATAAAGACAAGTAGCCCAGGTAATCTAGCCTCTCAGAATGCCTCTGTTGCAGTTTCCTCAAAATTTTGCATCCAGAACAACTTCAAAACTGCTAGCTGAGATGGTCCAGAATCATAGACTACTCCAGTCAGGACTTCAGATAAGCCCAGCACTTTCCCATTATACAGAGACTTGACAACAAATGATACAGCTAGCTCTCCCAGGACTTGTCCATTAATCAGTTTTCTCAGGGTTCCCTAAAGATGCTGTCACCCCAGAATATAGGAAGCAGTCAGAGAACATGATACCCACATTCCCTAGAGGTAGGGTGGGTAGGTTTTGGTCATTTGGTAGGTTATGGGTGTTCGTTATTATTTAGGGGTTTGTTTACAAGCTGTTATTGTTCATGGTCAGGAAAAAACTAAACAAAGCAGATTAGATTTAGGGATCTCTTTCTGAAGGGACAAAGGGGAGAATATAGTATAGAAATAAGGGATAAAAGGGTGGATTGTTGTGTCTACTTTTGAATAACCACTAGTCTCAAATATTGTACATTGGTGCTGTGGGATGGTCTGTATGGCAAATGTGTTGCTGATTAGTCAATAAATAAAACACTGTTTGGCCATTGGCTAGGCAGGAAGTGTAGGCGGGACAAGGAGGAGAATAAAGCTGGGAAGTGGAAGGCTGAGTCAGAGAGACACTGCCAGCCGCCATGATGAGAAACAGCATATGAAGATGCCGGTAAGCCACGAGCCACGTGGCAAGGTATAGATTAATAGAAATGGATTAATTTAAGCTGTAAGAACAGTTAGCAAGAAGCCTGCCACGGCCATACAGTTTGTAACCAATATAAGTCTCTGTGTTTACTTGGTCGGGTCTGAGTGGCTGTGGGACTGGTGGGTGAGAGAGATTTGCCCTGACCCTGGACCAGGCAGGAAAACTCTAGCTACACATTGGTATGGATTTTTGTATAGTGATACAAATTTAAGGTTATTTTCATTACGCTGCATAGATATTCATATTCTTTTTTAAAGTTATTGTGTCTATAAAGCTCATTTAAAACTGTAAAGTTCTAGTCCTTAAAAGCTATAATTGTAAACCATTTAAGATGATTAAAAAATGGGTTAATTTAAGTTATAAGATTAGTAGTTAGTCATCTATAACAATCAAACCTATAGCTATGTTCTGTATGTTTTCAAGGTCATACAGAGATATATTTTACATAGATATATGATCTTCAAAAGCTTCAAAAATGTACAAAATTTAAAATTTAAATTTAAATGTTCTAATAACCTAAGGCTCTTCATGACAGTGAGACATGTCTGCTCCTGGCAGCACCAATTTACTTCAAAAAAGGATGATGGCCATCAAAGAACCACCATATGGAGTTTGCTTTCTTTGTGGCAAAAGTTAGCCACTGGGCAAGAAATTGCTCTTGCCTCAATGGCTGACAGTATGCTATCCAAATTGGACAAGCAGGACCCACAAAAACGCAACTGCCAAACTTTGCCAAGACAAGATAGGACAGCCCTTCAAAATTCCTATTTCACAGAAATATCTGTCAGGCATTCTAGGCCTGTAGGCCAAAGATGGATACCCCAATGTTGCAGAGGAAACTTGGTGACTGTTCAGGCAGCCAGATGTCTCTGTCATTTCTATGGTTTTGGAAGTTGTTTGCTCTGCACATCCTTCTGAGTCACCAACGGAGGTGGACAGGAGATAGTTATAGTTTTCCTTGTTACCAAATTTAGAAAGGAAACTCACAAAAGTGATAAAAAGTATATGAGGTTGAGAGACACAAAAGATTAAATCATTTATCTAAGAAATGTTTTGAGGTCTGAAAAGATAGTTTTGTGTTGGAAATACAAGCTAGGATAGAACATAAATTAGGTACAAAACTTTTGACTCACCAAGATAGGATAGATAATGGATTATTTACTCTGAATTTGGCAAATACAGATAGACATAGGACATTGTAAATATTCTTACCTGATAATTGTTCTTATTGCTATAGTTTTGCTATCTTAGAGTTAAAACCTTTCCTTTTTATTTAAACAAAAAGGGAGAAGTGCTGTGGGGTATTTGTACACTGCATGAAGATATATTACTGTGATTGATTTCATAAAGAGCTGAACAGCCAACAGCTAGGCAGGAGGTATAGGGAGGACTTCCAGGCATAGAGGAAGGAAGTAGGAGATGAATGTAGGCAAGCATCAGATGCCAATGAGACATGGAGGGAGTCGCACATATAAAATGAAAGAAAGATAAAAAGCCATGAGACAAAAAGTAGATTAATATAAATGGGTTAATTTAAGTTATAAGAGCTAAACTAAGGCAAAGCTTTCATAATTAATAAGTCTCTGTTGTTATTTGGGTGCAGGCTGGCAGGGCAGAGAAAGACTCATTACAGCAGAGTCCCTTACTGAACCTGAAGACCACTATTTCAGCTGGAATAGCTGGCCAGCCAGCCTCCAGGAGTTCTCCTGTCTCTGCCTTTCTTGCAGAGGGTGCAGAGCTGTGCCTGACTTTTACACAGTTTCGGGGAGCCGAACTCAGGTCCTCATATGTTTGCAGCAAGGATGTTATCCCCTGAGCTACCTCCGCAGCCCAAGAATTTTTCTTTTATTTTTGAGATTATAATATAATTACATAATTTCTCCTTTCCTTTCTCTCCTTTCATACCCTCCCATATAACCCTCCTTACTGTCTTTCAATTCATGTCCTTTGTTTTCATTAATTGTTGTTATATGCATATACATACATACATACATATATTTTCAAGTATAACCTTGATTTTCATTTTACACAGCACTGACTTCATTTAAATTAAATTAAATTCTGAAAGTTCCCTAAAATGTTCACAATATTATATCGTAATGACATGTATGTCATCACTTGTCCACAAATCCCCTCCATCTTTAAAAACATATCATAAAAAGGCTAGTTTTATGGCACTCAGGTTCCAATCCTGTTTTTGTTTCATCATGAACCAGTTTGTGTTTACTATAGCAAAGCATGTGATCTGCAATAGGCAGCTGGTTTATTATAGACATAGAATATGTAATCCTGCCCCAAGAAAAAAATAGAAATAATCCAGACCAATGATTCTCAAACTGTTTTCCTGTACTTGGATTCAGTATGGGATGAAATTTCCAATTAAACCAAAACCACTTATCTTTTCTGAACTGGCTAATTAAAGTGCACTGAACTGACTTAAGTTTCCATTTGTGCACTACACTTGAAAAACTGTGTTATTTACTGCTTAAAAAACAATGCACAGAGAATGGGCAGGTTAATATTACTGGTCAAGTCTTAGAACACCTAATCACATCCGGCATATTTGACTCATGTGTATTGGGATAATTTCAGCTGAGATGTTAGTTTGCAAATTTTTTAATTAGTTTATTTATTTTACATCTGTGCTACAGTTTTCCCTCTCTCATCTCCTCCCAGTTCCTCTCTTGTACCCCTGTCCCATTAATTCATTCCTCCTCCATTTCTGCTCAGAATTTTAAGATGTCTTAACTGTGCAAGTAAACCTGTTTATGCTTTTTGATAGAATTAAATATTTGAGCATTCAAAAATGTTATTGCTAACTTCCAGGGACTCTGAGAAATTCTAATTTCTGTTGACTCCCATAGGTTTGGACAAATGAGACACAGATGGAGTGCCTGGCTGGCTTCAGTCACAGTGTCAGGACAGGGAGGAAACAACTTGTAGAATAACAGGGTATTCTTTCCTGCTGATGTCCTACAAAGTGACTAAGAACACTGTAGATGCTTGTTACATTTCTGAAGTAAATGGGAGAAGGGTGGAGAGTCATCCGGGGTTTGCTGTCCTCAGGTCCACTCTTCAAGGTGTCAGGTAAGCATCCTTTATCTTCAGAAGCTGTGCCCACAGCTCAGGCATTAGCATTATACTTGCTTCTTAAGGAGCCTTGCTAAGCTTAACCCTGGGAAGGACTTCCCATATTGTCTGGATCCATCATGTGACAATCTAATTCCTTTAAATTCTTAGAGAAAAAATCCTTCAATTTAAGATGTGATTGCTGCCTTGGTAAGAATGTTTTGAATTTTTTCTCTGTGTTGGCTTTCCAATACCATTTTGAAGAAGTGTAGCTTAGAGAAAGGTGCATGGAAGGGGTCACAAAATGTATTTTTAGTTTTACTGTGACAATATTTCCCAACTAGAGTCTTTTAGAGGACAGGTTGTTGTGGCGTATTTATGAAGGTGTCCAAAATGTTAGGAATATAAGATGGACTGATTTTAAACAATATGTTAGTTGCATTGACATATGCTCAAGATATTTTTCAAACTTTAAGGTTCTTTTGTATTGTTTCTGTGAATAAGTAATGGTGTGTGTGTTTGTGTGTGTGTGTGTGTGTGTGTGTGTGTGAGAGAGAGAGAGAGAGAGAGAGAGAGAGAGAGAGAGAGAGAGAGAGAGAGAGACAGACAGACAGAGAGACAGAGAGAAAGAGAGAAAGAGAGAGACAGAGACAGAGAGAAAGACAGAGAGACAGAGACAAACATAGAGAGATGAGAGAAGAAAGAGACATTCCTGGGGGTGGAATACATTACAAGGTAGTAGAATCTATTTCTCATATATTCCATTTGGGAAGTCTACATTTCATTTTCCTGTTTCATAGGTAAGATGGTTATGTGCATAAATCAAGATAATTAAGGATTCTGAAACAGTAATAATAATAGCAACTACAATGGGAATATTAATAAAAAGATGCCACAGTGGGAAACACAGGCCCCAGTCAGTAACTACATTTCCTACAGGCTTCTGTTCTCTACCACACAATCTAAAAATGTAAATTATTTCTAAAGCTTCTAGGACAGCAGAGCACAGATTTGCAGGGCACAAACAAACAAATGTGCACATTTGCGGTGCCCTTTGAGAACTTGAAATCTTATTCTTGTGACCCCAGGAAGCTGGCCAAGAGGAAAGGAGAGGAAAGGCATACAGGGTATTTGTCTTTGCATTTGGAAATGCCTCTGATCAGAAGAGCTGGGACAGTGTCTGTGCTTTTGTGGGAACTAGGCATGTGCCAGTGGAGGAAGCAAGATCAAGAGCAGTTTGCTCTTTCAGGGACTTCAAAGCCCATTCATCTGAAGATGTGGCCATTACCATTTTGGCTTCCTCACTGTGCCTTGGATGGCCCTGCACTTTTCAAGAGGAAAGCCTTGCTGGGTTGGGGCCAGTTAAAATGTATTCCTTGAAGTGCAATGTCCCAGAAAATATGCCCTTCCTGGCTGTGCTCTGTGATTATAGTCCCAACCGTGATCTTTGTTCCTATTGGATGAGTCAGATGCAGAGGTGAACGGGGCAGTGAGGCTGGACTACTGTTTTCCTAGTGTGCTCTTCTTCCTAGTGTGGAGAACTGTAAACATAAGAACCATATCAAGCAGATTCTGATTCTCTGACCTCAGGAGTCTTTCTTTTTACAGTATCAAGAGATATTAGGAGGAAAAAGTCAGAAAACAACCAAATAAATAATTACAGTTTTAAAAACCGACTTTGGCTGTTTATCCTACTCAGTCCCAACCACCAGTCCAACAGGACTAGGGAACTGTTCTCATCACTGGTAAGTTAAGTCATGAGACTAAGTTTTGCTCATGGGGTTTAGGTATTTTTCTGAGAATAAGATAGACAGTAATTTTCCCATCTAAAACCAAGACTCAAACCAAAACAGAACAAAGTTTAGGGCAGTGCTCTAACCTTGTAGTTCCTAATAATCTATCTGCTTTATGTTGGGGGTTCTGAAGACTAGACAGAGGTGTGCCCTTTGTGAAACACAGAGGGCATCTGTCTTTTCCTAGGTCCCCAGATCTTAACACAATATCTAAACATATGTGGATTGAATGAGTAAATCAAGTCTTTGACAGCTTGTCCAGTCAATATTCATTATGTGATCTTGGATACATTTCTCTTTTGCCAAGTTCTAATCTCTCAGCTCTAACCATTTAGGCCTCCTGATCTCACACCAGGGAGTGACTATTATGAATGATTCCTGAGATAATGTCCACTCAACCCTAGAGATGTCTCAGGGTATCTCGGGCTGTGCATTGGGTAAGTGACAGCTCTTTCATTTTCTTTTAAATTGAATATTTTCTAGTAACTATGTTACTGTGACAGTTGAGTTCATGTCTGTGTGCTTTAGTAAGGGAAGATAATAATCTGATATCCTAAATTTCTGCCTTTGACATGTGAGGAGTAGACACAAGCTCATCTTTTAGGAAGGCCTTTTGTAACTCTGTGATTTTATCCCAGTCTATTTTCTCAGAGTGGTCTCATGGGGAGATTGTGGACACAGTGACAGTGCATTTCTTTAAAGGTTTAGGAGGCCTCTGTTTCCACTGTTATGACCTTTCTGGGGTAGTTTAAGATTTTCTTTTTCCTAAGAGGAACATAGATTTTTTTTTTTTACTCTAATTAATTTAGAACATCACATGACATCAAAAAGAATTCTTATGTAATACTAACTTTAGAATTATAGATGTAATGACTCTCTTATACAGAATTTTTTAATAATTAAAAGATGCTTTTAAGCTTCAGTTTTTGAAAATATCTCAAGTTTTGGAATTTAATGCTCACTCTAAAAGTGTGGGTGTTCGGTGAATTGTTAGATGAGAAAGCAACCCAAAGAATATCATCAGGATGGGAAAAAGGAACTTAGGAAGAAAACATACCTTAAACCCATTGACTAGTCTTACGTCCCTTCAGTGGACCTTTTGTTAGTACATACTATGTGCCAGAGACTGTAGATGCTTGGGATCAAAAGCCTTAACCTACCAGAGAGTCTTTAAGAATGTGTTAAAGCAACATGGGTTTCAGTGTGCTGCATTTAATCCTGGCCTTTCCACTTATCCAGTGAGTGACCTTGAGCAAATCACTTCCAGCTTGAATGCTATCTGTGTGAAAGTGATAGATCACCTCAAGCTCTGATGATGTTTAGTTTTGGATATGTGATAGAACATAGATTAATATAAATGAATTAATTTAAGTTATAATAACTAGTTAGGAACAAGCCTAAGCTATAGGCTGAGCTTACATAATTAATAAGAAGTGTCATTATTTGGAGACTGGTGGGACAGAAAAAGACTCATTACTATGGCACCCAACATGGAGGGCCAAAATTCAAACATAGGGCCTGAGTAAGGTAAGAAAAGTTCTGGACAAGGAGCCATATGTTGATTCCTAGTTCTGCAGTCTCTCAGGTGGGCCAGTTCTTGGTGGTGTACAGAGACATGGCTTCCAGCAGTTACATGGGCTGGAATCAGCCACCAGTGCCATGTGCCAGTGCCATGCACTAAGCTGAGCCATGAAACAGCTGGCAGAGTAGTTTAAGATTTGTCTCAAAATCTGATAAAAAATGATCAGAGAACACTGCAGGTGCTTAGTAAAGCCATTTTCAGACATGGAAAACCTCTAAAAATAGACAGTATGTTTAAGATGCTGAAAAAAAAAAGAAAATGGGTATAAATAGTCTTAAAAATTAGTTTAAAAACAATAAAGTCTTTAAAGAGAGAGTAAAGTAATATTAAAAAAAACTAAGCCATGTAAAGATGGGAAATATACAGGATGTCTGGATCCTTTATGGAGTTTTGTTGACTTTGAAATTTTTAAATGCTAATGTTCGAAAAAGAATGGCTGCTGAGAGACATCAGACTATGGAAGCTGCTAAATTAAACCAACCTATATATGGAAGTCAGAAAAAAATGTTGCATCGGGGACAGGTTATGCCTTTGCTCCCACAGGAAACAAAAAGTAATAGTTCTCTTCAAAATTAATAAAGATCAGATTTGATCAGGGAGACCTCCTGAGGATCTTGGTTACAGACATGAGGAAAAAATCCAAGAGAGAGTACAGGACAGGTGATGTATATGCTGACCTCTTGACATGGGAACAGCTCTGAGACTGGATGAAATATGAAAAATCTTGTTGGCTACAGAGTCTTCATGATTTATTATTACATGGCATCCTTTCATATAACATGGGTGGGGATTTAAATTACACTCTGGTTATACAGTCTAAATGGACTTATAAAGTTGGCAGATGCCTTTTACTTGCTTAAACATAGAAAAAAAATCTTTAGCTGACTTATACACACTGCACATTCCATACTTGTTTTAACACAGATATATATGTTACCATTAAAAGTTTGTGTGTTTTCAAAAAGAAAGGATCAGTCACCAATGAAAACAAGTAGCCTAGGTGATCCAGCCTCTCAGAATGCCTCTGTTGCAGTTTCTTCAAAATTCTGCATCCAGAACAACTTCAAAGCTGCTAGCTGAGATAGTCCAGCCTCATAGACTACTTTGGCCAGGACTTCAGATAAGCCCTGCATTTTCCTATCACACAGAGACTGGACCAAAAAATATGATACAATTAGCTCTACCTAGGACTTGACCATTATTCCAATTTTACCAGGGTCCACTAAAGATGCTGTCTCCCCCAGACAATAGGAAGCAGTCTGGAAAACATGGCATCCATATCCCAAGAGGTTGGGTGGTAGTTTTTGGTTATTTAGTGGGTCATGGATGTTATTATCATTTGGGGGGGTGTTGGTTAAAAGTCGTTGTTGGTCATGGTCAGGAAAAAAAATTGAACAAAAGAGATTAGATTTAGGGATCTCGTTCTGAAGTGAAAAAGAGGGGATATAGAATGATGGGATAAAGGGTAGATTGTTGAGTTTACTTTTGAATAACCACTAATCTCAAATATTTTACATTGGTATGTTTTGTATATTGATACAAATATAAGGTTATTTTTGTTATGCTGTATATATGTTCCTACTCTTGTTTAAGATATTGTATCTATGCAGCTTATTTAAAAATGTAATGTGTAATTAATAAATACAGGTTAGTAGTTAGTCATCTGTAATAATCAAACTGGTAGCTATGTTATGTGTGTTTTAAATGTTAAACAGATATAATTTAGATAAAAAGGTGGTCTTCTAATACTTCAGAGACCTACAGAATATGGCATTAAAATGTTCTAATAACCTAAGGCTTTTCATGACAATGAGACACATCTGCTCCTGGCAGTACCAATCTACTTCATAAAAGGATGATGGGATTCAAAGAGCCTCCTTATGGAATTTGCTTTTTGGCAAAAGTTATCCATTGGACAAGAAACTGCCCTTGCCTCAACTGCTGACAATACGTTGTCCAAATTGGATGAGCAGTACATAAAAGAAAGTGACTGCCAAATTTTGTCAAGACAAGATGGGACAATCTTTCAAAATTCCTGCTTCACAGAAAAGTCTGTCAGATATTCTAGGCCTACAGGCCAAAAATGGATGCCCCAATGTTGCAGAGGAACCTTGGGTGACTGTCTAGGCAGCCAGATGTCTCTGTCATTTCTATAGTTTTGGAAGTTGCTTGTTCTGCACTTCCTGTTTACTCAGGTAATATTATATCCTTCATGGGTCTCTGATGGAGTTGAAGACTAGATAGTTATTTTTACAGTTTTCTTTGTTACCAAATTCAGAAAAGAATCTCACAAAAGAGGTATAAAGTGTATAAGGTTGGGAGACATAAAAGCTTACATTGTTTATCTAAGAAAATGTTTTGAAGTCTTAAAAGATAGTTTTGTGTTGGTAACACAAGTTTGGGTATAAAGTAAATTAGGTTCAAAACTTTTGACTTACCAAGACAGGATAGATAATGGAATATTTTCTTTGAATTTGGCAAATACAGATAGGCTGAACACTGTAAATGTAATTCTTACCTGATAATTGCTTTATTGTATAGTTTTGCTATGTTAGAGTCAAAACCTTTCCTTTTTATTTAGACAAAAGGGGGACATGTTGTGGGATATTTGTACATTGTCTGAAGATATATTGCTGTGATTGATTTAATAAAGAGATGAGTGGCCAATAGCTAGCTAGGAGGTATAGGCAGGATTTCCAGGGAGAGAACAGAAGAGCAGGAGGAATCAAGGAGCAGGAGACCTGGAGAAGAAACAGAAGGTGCGAGATGGAAGAGAGGTAATGCCACATGATAGAATGTAGATTAAAATAAATGGGTTAATTTAAGTTTTAAGAGCTAGTTTCGAACAAGCCTAAGCTATAGGTTGAACTTTCATAGTTAATAGAGGTCTCTGTGTCATTATTTGTGAGCTGGCTGGCAGGACAGAAAAAGATTCATTACACTGATGTGATCAGTGGTAAGATAATAGATGAATTTGGAAGGTGAAGCCCATACGATATTTTCAATGCCTGGACAGAAGATATAAGTTGAAGGACATGACAAATGCAGAAACAGCAGATGGAGGAGAGATGAGAATGTTCTAGGTGGAGGAGCTAGCCTGTTCACAAGGTATGAAGATGAAGGTGGAGGCATGGAATGTGTGGGGAAAAGAAAAGAGAACTGTGGATTTGTCTAGAGAGGTGGACAGTGGTTGTAGCCCATGTCAGCAGAGTTTTCTATTTTGTAGAAAATTTGAGAACACATACTTCTGTTAAATCTGTTTAGTAAAACGAATGTCAAACTGAGTCAACTTCATAAGACTTATGTCAATTAATAGTGGGACTACCTAGTAGGGGCACAGCAAAACACCAGGGATTATGTGGCCAAAGTCCTATAAAAAGCCTACCTACTATAGAATCGATATCCTTTGTTCATTTACAGGATCTTGGATGTACTTAGTAGAAGCACATGGCAGGGAGAGGACTTTTCAACCCAATTGGACAGATGTGGTAGTGTCCTGGCTTAGTGTTGATTATGATGCTTACTCCACTGAATCAATATGCAAGTGAAAACAAAACTGATATTATTTTAGAAAAGAAACATAGGATACATCTGATTTACAACTGTTAAGAAAACACAAATTTCCCTTGGTAATTTTCAATTAAGGCAGTACTATTGTATAAATGCTTATAATCTTTCATTTTAGCACAAGCTTTAGAATATATGTATATCTAAGAGGCTAGGGAGATAGTCTGATGTAAAATACCTGCCATGTAAGCATGGATATGTGAGTTTGGATCTAACACACACAAAGAGATAAGACACGTGCACCTGTACCTACCAGTGCAAGTGCACATCTCCATTACCTGTGTATAC